AAGCTGAAGCCAAACCAGACATATCTCAAAAGCTGTTAAATGGTCCAATCTGTGACTGCTGCATTGGCCAGGACATCAATAGATATGCATACAAACACCCTTAAAGGGTTAATTAATCCAAAAAGAAATTCTGTCATCATTTACTCACCTATTCCAAACCCAAGTTATTTTTCAATCAGAGATTTGACAGCTACGCAACTACCACTTTGACGCTAAAACAAAAAAGCTCAATTCATATGGATTAGTTCTACAAATTGTCTCAATCGCTTTATAAACTGAATTTAGGATTTTATTCACATATAAACATTCATCAACGCACTCACCCGTTGTGGTAAACGGAACCGCAAGAACCAATGAGAGTTCACTCTCGTGTGTTATGCAGCACAAAAAAACAAACAAACTAATGTCATCGCCAAAATACCGACCACAGACTTGAGGAGCAGCATCACAGTGACAACCCCAAGATGGTTCCAGCCCAAGATGACTCAAGTGATGAAATCATTAGCGCACCGGATGCAATAGAAAGCACAACCAATCGATACATGGCACTATCGGCTATAAAACTAAGTCTAATGGAGCAGCAAGAGACATTGGTAAAAATGTCCTGTTTAATGTCCTGGTATGGCTAAAACAACCATTGAAAGCAGCTGTCCCTGCCAAACACTATTCTGACTGACCTGAGCTCAGGCACACGTTGAAACAAAGAGGGGTTATCATAATTTTTAGGACAAGGAGACCTAACAATGTACTCTGTTCCATTTCAATGTACCATTCTAACATCAAACTGGTTTTAGCTCTGGATTGTTTGGTCAAGTCAATCAGGGTTTATTTTTTGGGTGGGGGGGGGTGGGGTGGGGGGGGGTCACAACAACAGCTGGCATTACAGACAACTGGGAAAACAATAGACCATTATGGGCTAAGCAAGACATCATAGTTGATTCACATTAAATGGCATAGACAGGGGGGTTAAAATACCATATAAAGAATTCGATCTCTTGCAAATTACTTAAAGGTGCACTCAGCACGTTTTTGTAAAGGCTAAATTTAGCTAACTTTTATTCGACCCAGTTTTGGACTTAATAGTAACACGTATTGCATACACTGGATGCATTTTTTTCTCCCCACTTGAATGTATTCTGTTCAAACACCTTGCCAGTATATTCTATCAATCTGGACCAGACCATGCTGTTAACTTGTTTTACTAGATTCCTTTATTTAGAAGTACTGACGACAGTTAAGTTGAGTACAGATTTAAAGTCAATGTATTAATATTGTTAAAATTACTAACTTACCGGTAATAATTAATTGCATAATTCCGCTAGTCACGTGATCTCAATATGGCTACGCCCATAGGCGACCCGCTCTGTGTAGAATGAACTCTTCTGGAATATGACTGATGTCTTAATCTAATGAGTGTACCTCAATCACCTCATTTTAAGGATATTTCTAAAACGCTTTGTGTAAACCCTGCTAATTTGGGAGAAATTACCGAACGCAGCTTAAAATCTGCACTTTTCACGCAAAACGATTAATCGCTGGTGAATGGGCAACAGTTCCCGGAGCGGCCGCGTAAATATCCGGGCCATTAGCGCTAAAAGCGGTCATGAACTTCTACAACTGAAACCTAGAATGTAAACAGACAGATACAGGGTGTGATGAGAGACACGCTGTTATCTACAAACCGACTGGCGTTACAAGGGCAAGGTGATAACACGGAATGACATCAACGCGATTCAAACGATAATTTCAAGTCAAAACGTAGGCTTACGTGGAATTTGTCCAGACAAGCTCAGGATAATTATCACAGGCGGTCCACATCACGACCATATCAAACAACGGCAATCCATGAGAGTCCACTTATACTATCGATTTTCTCTGAGCTTTATAGAAGTTTAGTCGGATAAAGAGCTCGAGGCGGCTAAGAATAAAACAGGACAGCTAGCCTATGTCGGAGACGAGCGTATTCGTTTGTCAAGTGATGCGCGTTTCGATTAAAACAGGGATTTGAATTCCTCAACATCAAATCTTGTAATTCTCAACAACATCACTAAACGTTGAGCATATAGGCTAGTTTACTATACAACCCCCCACAAAATCCAGCGATTTCTTTGAATTTAAGACAGATTAATGTTCTATTTTGTATCCTTTTATGCCCAAGAAAAAATGTTCCTGCAAGGATATTTGTTTTTATCCGAGCACGAATCGCTACATACAACCGGCCACGCGAAAATGTGATTAATTACGATGCCCTTCAGTCACGCGCATCGATTAAATACAAACGTAGCCAATATAATAAAAATAATCGGTGTAACAAACGAAGCGCAGGCCGCTGTTCAATTCATACCATGTGTGTAAATCGATGCATCCTTTAAAAGCCCAGCCCAACCCAAACATACAAAATCCGAACCTGATACGAGAAAACATTCACAACCGAATGCAAACCAAGTTGATTTTGGTTCCGAATGAAGTGACAATATTAACAGAGAAATTGACCCAGGCAAACAGGTTGAAAGATAAGCAAAGAAAACATGCTCTAAAATGCCATTCATTTACCTTCAGATGATTTTAAAAGCGTCCTGTTTCGATTGAAAATCTGGAAAAGCAGGCAATCCACGACTTCACACCGGCGACAAGGTGATACGGAGCCGTGAGGTTCCTTGTGCAAACTGCTTAAAATATACAAACGTGCAAAAAAACACATTTATCCCAGCCCGCTGCTGCTTTGCTCTCGCGTTACACCTTGAGCTGAAACCAGTGTGAAGGAAGTTAACCAAATACTAGCGTGGCAATTAAGAAACAAAAAAGGAACAAGCCACCAAAAAGCCCATCGGACTCCCGTTTCATCCAATGGGGTCAAGTACCGAAATTCACTTCAAAGGGCAGTGATGTCACTTTGCAAACTATAGCCCCGCCCATCTAGCGTCCAGCGTGACTGAGGAGGACTAGCGACTCAACACACACAAGTAGGCTACCTGATAAAATGTAAATCTATTGATAGTTTCCAACATACACAAATATACCGTTATATTATTTAAAAAACAAAAACAAAATGCATACAAGATATGTAAAAAAAAAAAAACTGTAAGAGTTAATTATCAGAAATCGGAACAAAATTAATATTGCCTGTTTTTGCTCTAATCAAATAAAAAAAATTAAAGTAGTTTAAAGTAAAAAAAAAAAAAAAGATTTGAAAATGTGTGCACAAGTGTCATTCGGGAAATTATTTGGAGTAATTTCACACCCTTATGAAATTGTATTTTTCTTTGAAAACAAAAGGCGTATTCATGGTCTAAAGTAGCATTCAGGCAGTAAGAAAAAGCAGTATGACAGTAAACTTCACCCTGTTAGACAAAGAAAGGTTCATTGATGGACAAGCAACACTTGATTTTTGTGTACGTATATAATAAGAGGGAGAGAAAATAGACAAAACACATTTTAGTGTGCATCTCAAAAAGAAGTTTTGTAAGAGTGACTCACAAGCCTGCAGCTGCGCACTATACATTGCTCTTCTTGTCTAAACTGGTTTTATTTAAGTTCTGCTTTGTCTTAATATGCTGATCTGAATCAATGGGTGAAGCCAATCACACAGCACCAACATTACTGAACCTCCTAACAGTGCATTAGTCTGGCAATTGCTAACCTCACCCCTTACGGTTAACCGAGAATGTGGATATTGTGAACATCTGAGTGCATTAAGCATCACGGAAATGATTTGGGATTAGACTAATTAAATGTTAGTCTCGGAAGATTATCTTTCTTGTTATACTGCTGCAAGACCTGTCTGTACATCATCACAATGGACTTACTGATGTGGTTAAATGAAATCTCTTCCTGTTAAGTCATTGTGTTTGAATAGCTGGGTGTGGCTCATATTCACATAATAGTAAAGCAGGTCTTCATAGAGCAGTTCTCTTATTATCAATGGCCACAGGTCTGAGATCAGCATCTGATGGAGTTTGCTCTGTTTGAACAGTGTGTGTAATCTAGTTCTGTGGTTTCAGGTAGCCATCTAAAACAATGTACACTGGCTAGAGCACCTGCTTAGTCCAGCTAATCAAACATGCCTACAATTTGTTTTATCTTCACATACACTACCTTACATTCGAAAGGGTTCAGATTTGTGTGTGTGTGTGTGGGGGGGGGGGGTGCTCTCATACCATCTAGTGGTGGTTATACGGTATAGTAATAAATTATGTTTAGATGGTTAAAGTTTTTAAAAAAAAAACTTTTGCTGATAATTTGATAATTTACTCACCCCTGTGTCATCCAAGATGTCCACGTCTTTCTTTCTTCAGTCGAAAAGAAATTAAGGTTTTTGATGAAAACATTCCAGGATTTTTCTCCATATAATGGACTTCAATGGGAACCAAACGGTTCAAGGTCCAAAAGACAGTTTCAGTGCAAACTGCAAATGTTTAAAGGGCTTTAAACGATTCCAGACGAGTCTTATGAAGCGAAACGATCGCTCATTTAAAAAAACAAAGTTATAAGCTCAAATGGTCGCTTTGCTCTGTTCTGTGATGCGTGTTAGTTACTCTCCTGTTCGACCTCATTCATAAAAATTAATGAATCTTTTTACGTGTTATTTGGTTCATTCAATAACCGAAATGAACGAATTGACTCGGAAAAAGATTTGTTAATTTTGATGAACGAGTTTGAACAGAAGAGTCACGAACGCGCATCACAGAACAGAGCAAGGCGAGCATTTGAGCTTATAAAACTTAAACTTTGTTTTTGTTTTTTAAAACGAGCGATGGTTTCACTTGATAAGACCCTTATTCATCGACTGGAATCGTTTAAAGCCCTTTGAACAGTTTGCACTGAAACTGTCTTTTAGACTTTGAACCGTTTGGTTCCCATTGAAGTCCATTATATGGAGAAAATCCTGGAATGTTTTCGTCAAAAAACCTTAGGACATCTTAAATTATCAGCAAAAGTTTTTTTTTTTAAAGTGAACTACTCCTTTAATGTAGAACAACAGCAAAAAAGTGACTATTAAACAGACTTTAGAAAATCTCTGTATTGAACATATACATATAAACATTAAAATAACACATATAACCCTGTCAAGAACAAAGTTCAGGAAAAAAAAAAAGTGTGCAATGACACTAAAATTAAAATCCTCCAGTTTGAAGGTCAGTAGATTCTTTAACATCATGTATTTGCACAAGTTCACATCATCACAAAAAAAAAAAAAATCATCACACAATCAAACAATAAGCAGGATAAAATGAAATATGAAATACTTCAGGTACACATCTACAACATCCCCACTTAGTGCAGGATTCACATGTAAATAAATTGTGCGCTTTAAACTCATTTAAAACAAAGACAACAGAGCCAAAAAAAAAATTGATTGAGCTACTAATTAAAATCATACAGTATAATTAAAATAAAAAAAGGAAAATCGTCAAAATCATATCATATGGTCCCACTTATTGTGTACTTGAGTAAAAGCTTGCACAGGCCCCAGGATTTAAATATTTATACTTGCTTCTCTTATAAGTCAAGTATAATGGAGAAACTAAAAATGGCTTTATATTGTTTTAATATGTCACCACTGTGAACGCTGTGTCCTCGACCGATAGATTAAAATAAAGCTGATGGAGGGGAGCTGTAAAAGTCTGTCTTCCTCTATAAAGTACTAGATCAGCAAGGGTAAAGCTGTCTAATATAATTTCACTAGCAAACAGAGTGATTTGATTCAGTCTGCATATGAAACAATGAATCAGTGTCAAAAAATAGAGGTGCCATTATGGTTGAATTTGTGAATCAAAATCCTAAAAATCATCTTATTCAACATCTCATCCAACAATGAGGTATTATAGCCATCTATACACATCAAGAGAGTGTTAAGGCCAAGGTTTTGAGGCATTCTGAGCATGAATTCATAGCAGAGCATGTATTTTGGGAGTGCTGTTTCTGCTCAACGTGTGGAATAAGAGCCAACTTTACTATGTTTAATCTTCTCATCTTGTGAGGTTAACATCTGCCAGTTCAGTCTCCTTTAGAAACACCTTCTGATGCAGACATTACACGTGACTAGAGGTTATATGAATCACTCAATAGTTATGAATCATTGACCACCGTCACACACGCCACTTTGACTCTCAGTATCGGCGACTGGTGACCCACTTGCACACCACAGCACGTGCACTCAACCAACGTGTGGGATCAACATTCAGGGAGTGATTACTGTACATATCACCTAATAGTCTTTCGATTCAAACCTCCTAGGTGTTTTAATCAGCGGCAACCTCCAGAATTGAGTTCAAACTAAAAACAAGGGGAGGTAAAATTAGTTTATTCCCACCGAAGCGATTCTTCATTAATGCTCTTCTCCAAACTGAAGCGACTGTGACTTCTTGAGTATTTTGCCTGGAGCTTTTTACTGGCTTCTGTCCTGTTGCTCTAGCGCAGTGTGACCAGCAGAGGGAGGTGCAGTCAGGCGTCGAGACTCGTCATTCACTAGTTCACGAGGAGGACGTCCTCGTATGTGGTGGTTCTGCAGGGTTGCACCAACAGACACAATTACAGCATTCGGTGATGTCATTTTTCGTGTTGAAATACTTTCGAAAAACTTTTGTGTTATAATATTTTCTAATACCCCAGTGTAAAGTCATGATAAAACTAAACGTTTCTTCTATACTGTGACGTACATCCAAGTGCAACGGAATATTTAAAAAGTGAAAATGCAGTTCTTTGCATCGGCTGTTGCACTCAAAAAAGTGGAGGCAGAGGAATGAGAGTTTGTAGGGGCTGGATTTAAATCAGAAGATCTGAACTAGGGGGCCTCAAGATGCCTTAAAAATAAAATGGTTTAAATTTTAAGACAAAACAAGCAATGAAATAAGCTAAAACAACTATTAAAAGAATTCAAGATACTACTTGGCATTTGGTTGTTTTTAATAATGAATATGCATCTTTTTTGTTATGCCAAGTTGTATTGTTATGCTTTCTTATTTTTTTAGTTTGTTTTACAAGTTTTTGTTACTTGGCAGCAGGTTCTCTCTCTCTCTCTCTATATATATATATATATATATATATCGTGCTGTCAAACGATTAAAATATTTAATTGCGATTAATCGCATGTCATAGTTAACTAGCGATTAATCGCACATTTTTATCTATTCTAAATGTCTTTTGATTTCTTTTTGTTACATTATTTTTTTTCTCATTTTAATGTTCTTATCAACATGGAAAAGTGGATTGGCTTGTTTAGTGCAAATGTTTTTTTTTAATTATTATTTTTGAAAATAACATTGGAATAGTGCTCAATTTCACACTAACATATACTGTATAAATAATCTCTCACAGAATGTAACACTGTCTATCAATAAAAGGGTGAAAGAAATACTGATGAGGTCCTGATATTGACGAGGGGGTGGAGAATTCGCATCATTTGTGTGTGTGTGTTTGCTTGGCCATCATCAAGCGGTGTTTCAGAGTGGACATGCTGCGATGATGATAGCTCAGTTCACAATGACAAAACACACAGATCACTTGGTCTTGTCAAATGGGACAATTTGGCAACTTTTTAAAAGTAAACTTTCCATTAAGAATCTTAGGGTATCCATTTCGGCGTCTCGCGCTCGTCTTTGAGTGGATGATCAGCGCGAGACGCCAAAATGGATCATGACGCATGCCGCGTCCTGTTGCAAAAGCATGTGAAAAAACGACAAAGTTTGCTAGGACAAAAAGACAGTTAATCGCGCGATAAAAAAATGAACGCCGTTAAAATGGTTTTGCGTTTATGCCATTAATAACGCGTTAAACTGACAGCCCTAATATACAGTATATATATATATAAATCAAATATAAATATATAAATATATATGAAGAGTTCAGATGCAAAAGCCTCTAAATGCCATTTGAAATTTTCTTCTTTAATGATGATTTTTTATCAAACTTGTATATTTAAGTTCAGCAATTTCACTTAAATAACAATTAATAGGTAATTATCAATGCCATTTAAGTGAAATCACTGAACTTAAGTATGCAAGCTTGATAAAAATGATCATTCTAGAAGAAAATTTCAAATGGCACTTAGAGGCTTTTGCATCTGAACTCTTCATATATAAATCAATCTCCTTCATTGTATTAACTCACTTTTTCCAGTTCAATCAACTTAAAATTTTAAGGCAACCAGGTTACTTTTTTTTTAAAGTTAAACCAACAATATTTTTTTTACTGTATATATATATATATATGAAGAGTTTAGATGCAAAAGCCTCTAAATGCCATTTGAAATTTTCATCTTTAATGATGATTTTTATCAAACTTGTATATTTAAGTTCAGTAATTTCACTTAAATAACAATTAATAGGTAATTATCATTGCCATTTAAGTGAAATTACTGAACTTAAATATACAAGTTTGATAAAAATCATCATTAAAGAAGAAAATTTCAAATGGCATTTAGAGGCTTTTGCATCTGAACTCTTCATATATATATATATACAGTGTACATATATATACTGCCCTCGTAATCCTGCCTTTAATTAAAAAAACTTGCAGTGACATCTCTTTTCTGATGACATGTTTACTGGCTAATGAAAACCTGTCAGTCACATGAGATCCACCAATAGCAAACCACAACCTTCTAATCGATTACACATGGACACACATTTTCACTTGGATAAACGTCAGAATAGGTGTTTCATGCCGACTTTAAAGGGATACTCCACCCAAAAATGAAAATTCTGTCATCTTTTACTCACCCTCGAGTTGTTGCAAACCTGTATGAGTTTCGTTCTTCTGCTGAACACAAAGGAAGATATTTGGAAGAACGATTGGCACCATTGACATCCATAGTATTTTTTCTTCAACTATGGAAGTCAATGGTGCCAAACAACTGTTTGGTTTCAATCGTTCTTCAAAATATCTTCCTTTGTGTTCAGCAGAAGAAATAAACTCATACAGGTTTGCAACAACTTGAAGGTGAGTAAATGATGCCAAGATTTTCATTTTTGAGTGTAGTATCCCTTTAAGAGGCATTTTCTTTGTTTCTAATCTACAGTGACACACCTGTCACAGCAGCAGAAGAACGAGCAGGGTGAGGTCTCGATCCCGCGAAACTTTCCAGAGCAGGGTGTGTCGGTGCACTGAGCGATGAACGCGTGCAGGTCAGTGATGTGGTACGGCTCCTGAGTTTGATGCTGAATGGAAATGACAGGATATCACATTACCATAATCAAGCTATTTATAACTGTCAGCGTCACCTTAATTAGGAAAAATGTTTAATTTACAAGAACGATAAGTCAAAAATGACACTTTAATATGTTTAAAAACAAACAAAAAAATAAAACACACTCTATTAACATCTTGTAAGTAAATATGTTAATAAAAACAAATCTATAAAAAAAAAGAAGAACTATCTAAATAAATCTCAAAGAGATAGCAATAAATAAATAAATAAACATACTGAACTCTAATGAGAGTTTCCCTATAAAGATATTCATGTTTGTGCATGTGCGTGTTTTTCATTTATATCTCTTTATCATCTCTCACTCTTACCTTGATGGTCTCGTAAGCTCCAGTGATGAGAGCGATAAAGAGAGAGAGCACCATGTAGATGAACAGAGAGATGAATGTGTAAAGGTAAACCTGCAAAAGAACAGTGTCTTTAGTGCTCTGAATCCTGCAGTATTTGTAATGTATGTACTTGTGTGAGGATGTGAGGCTCAAACTCACCTGACTGAAGACCCAGACTAGCAAACTGCTCTCTTGCATGCCACTGAAGGTCACAAACATGTCGTCTCCATTAATCAGAGAGAAAAGACACTCCGACACCAGCGAGAGAGAGCGGAACTGAGGATACAAAACAAAAACTATAAACACCACATTCAATAGATAATGAGAGAGAAGACACATGTACATTTCCTTATGTACATACATCATATACACAACACTACCATTCAAATGTTTCTACACCTTTAAAGAATTACAGTAAAAAACAATAATATTGTGAAATATTCGTACAATTTTAAATGATTGTTTGCAATTTGAACGGTAATTTCTTCCTGTGATGCAAAGCTGGATTTTCAGCATTACTCCAGACTACAGTGTCACATGATCCTTCAGAAATCATTCTAATATGCTGATTTGATGCCCAAGAAACGTATTATTATTATCAATGTTGAAAACATTGTGCTGCTTAATATTTTGGTGGAAACTGTGACATTTTTTCAGGATACTTTGATGAATAAAAAGTTAGCTCTAAAAATAGAACAGCATTTATTCGAAATGGACATTTATCATCACAATATAAGTGTCTTTACTGTGATTTTTGATCAATTAAGTGCATCCTGGCTGAATAAAAATATTAATTTCATTAAAAAAAAGATCTTACGGAGAGTGCCTTCCCACCGCCACCGGCAAGAGCGTCAAAGTGGCGGAAGTCATTAATTTTCAATGTGAGACGCCGGCGAGGAGAGTTGAAGTCAGGTCAACTTTATGATAATGATGAGCTATGATGCGGTTCGGCGGAAAAACCAATCAGAATGTAAAAGTCCTCTGCTTGAGAGGATCCCAGAATCCTGTAAACTTTGGTTCTGACCACATTAGTTCCCAAGCAATATAGAGGAGAAGTTGATCTTGTGAATTTGATAAGGCACGCAACACTATAAATAGGCAACATTTTTGCGCTAGAATGCTTGTTTTTCAGCAAGAATGCAAATTAGTTTAGCACTTAACCATGAACACAAATAGCTTTTAATTGGTTTATTTCGTTAGCAAATATGTCACTTTAATTGTTAAGTTCTTCCCATCGACCGATTTCTTACTTTCACATTTAAAAGATTCCACGAGGTTAACTTATACGGTCAAGTCTGCACAAATAACGACCAACGTGCTTGTTTGCTTCGCGGCCCCTTTAAATAAAGTTTAAAAAAAGAGCAAGCATTCGATCTACGTCAGAGCGCCCACGAATATTTCTACGGCGTCATTGGCAGGGCGGCAGTGTGAACGCTACAAACCACTATAAACCTTTTTACGGTTTCTGAAAAACATTCTCTCTTTTGGACTTTTATTACATTACAGTATAAATTAAACCAAAACAAGTGTCATATTCCTAAACAGGTCAAAAAAGGTCAAAATTACTGTTGTAGCTAAATAAAAAAAATAACACACACGCACAAATATACATATATGTGAATGTCAGCTTTCCGAACATGTTCCATGCAATACCTCCACATTAAATTATGTTTATTTAATTATACTTAATTATCTTGTGTCAATCACAGACTGTCAGACTTAAGTTGTTTACCTTGACATGATAGGGTCCCAGCACAATCCACCCGCAGAAGCAATACCCGAGGTAGATCACCGCCACGCAGCAACAGAAACGGATCACATTAGGGAATGCAGCTCGTAATGTGACAATGAGAATCTGAGAAAGGAAAACACTATATAGTAAACAAATTCCACATCCTAAGAAACATCTCAAGAGATGAGGTCAAATTTCAGGTGTATTGATTGAATGAAAAATGCAACAAAAAATGAAAAGCTAGACAAGTCAGCAACCTTGTTAAAATAATTGAATATATTGTCTTTTTACTGTAAAGATCAAGGAGAATTTTAATGTGGTGGTGTGTGGGTGTGTTTGTCTCTCACATTGTACTTCTGAAAGAAAGTGAGGTAGCGAATAACTCCAACCCAAACCAATAACGTCGATGTGCCCAAAAGGATCCCACACTCATCGTACGATGAGAGGTTCTGAGGGTTGAAACAAAGTATCGTGAAGTATCTGTGCTGATTGACATAATACAATGGATGGTTTCCGAATGTATTTCTGATGCTCATCAGCTCGACTGACCTTCAGCTCAATGCCGATCTTTATCATGGACCCTGTGATCGTGAGGATGTCGCTAATGATGAGCAGAATATACCATCCGTTAATAAACTCCATTCGGTCCCCCCAACAGACATCACGGTTCAGATAATTCCTAAAGTACTTTACAAACTCCTGAGGAGAGAACGTTAGAACGGGATTTACTAAGTGATCTTTGGCATTTAATGTGGATTTGTTTGTTACAATATCTTACATTTTGAAGAATGATTCCTCTGATGATAGAGCGACCACAGAGGAGCAGAGAGAAGATACACACCACTGCAACCGCCACATCAAACCACACACGAGCATTACTATCAGCTGGAGACAGATAGCATGAGAACAAACGTATTGTGATTATCCACATTGTAAAAAAATCAGAAAATCCCCAAAAATTGATCTGAAATGTGACGCGAATGAGGTAGTTGAATCCTACCGTGTCCAGACACACTTGGGTCTTTACATTCCTTTATGGAGGCCTGATTATCAAGACTGATCTTAACTTTACCACTGTGGGCTTTGTTATCCAGCAGGATCTGAGCAGAAAATAATAACATTATATACTGTAAATACGACTATATAGAGGAACATAGCACTGTTATATATAGATATATAGACCAACGCCACTTTTGCGTTATCGAAGGGTAACGCCCCCTTTTGGGGGAAAACACTTCTATACTGTCTATGGGAAAACAAACGGATTTCCATGAGAACAGAACTCGCACTAGATCTGCAAAGTTTCTTGATCGCAAAAATGGCACAAACTTAAAGAAGCTAACGTTACTGAATACGGGGTTACAGAGGTGTCCCTTTGAAATGGTCGAAAACTGGATTAATGACCCCACACAGCGGCCAAATATGGACTATTCAGACATCTAACGATACCACTATCTCGTGGAATCGCCAAGTAAGCACGTAGCCTTTTTTTTCATTAACACACAGTATGACAAACTAGACGATGAATGGATCATATTTAACTTGATTTAAGCTATTGACATAGTCTAATAAGGTAACGTTAGCTGCTAACAGCTTAGTCTTTCTAATAGCTAGTCGACAACAAAACTGTCAATAGCGTAAATCAAGTTAAATATGATCCAAGTGACATGGCCTCATCGTCTAGTAGTTTGTCATAGGCTACTGTGAGTGTGTAAATGATAAATAAATAAATAAAAAAGGCTACTTACTTGGTGATTCCACGAGATAGTGGTATCGTTAGATGTCTGAATAGTCCATATTTGGCCGCTGTGTGGGGTCATTAATCCAGTTTTCGACCATTTCAAAGGGACACCTCTGTAACCCCGTATTCAGTAACGTTAGCTTCTTTAAGTTTGTGCCATTTTTGCTATCAAGAAACTTTGCAGATCTAGTGCGAGTTCTGTTCTCATGGAAATCCGTATGTTTTCCCATAGACAGTATAGAGGTGTTTTCCCCCAAAAGGGGGCGTTACCCTTCGATGACGCAAAAGTGGCGTTGGTCTATACACTCACCTAAAGGATTATTAGGAACACCTGTTCAATTTCTCATTAATGCAATTATCTAATCAACCAATCACATGGCAGTTGCTTCAATGCCTGGTCAAGACAATCTCCTGAACTCCAAACTGAAGTATTTGGAGCTCCAAGATCTGAGTATTTCACAATCTGCTCAGTTACTGGGATTTTCACGCACAACCATTTCTAGGGTTTACAAAAGAATGGTGTGAAAAGGGGAAAACATCCAGTATGCGGCAGTCCTGTGGGCGAAAATGCCTTGTTGATGCTTGAGGTCAGAGGAGAATGGGCCGACTGATTCAAGCTGATAGAAGAGCAACTTTGACTGAAATAACCACTCGTTACAACCGAGGTATGCAGCAAAGCATTTGTGAAGCCACAACACACACATCCTTGAGGCGGATGGGCTTCAACAGCAGAAGACCCCACCGGGTACCACTCATCTCCACTACAAATAGGAAAAAGAGGCTACAATTTGCAAGAGCTCACCAAAATTGGACAGTTGAAGACTGGAAAGATGTTGCCTGGTCTGATGAGTCTCGATTTCTGTCAGTCAGAATTTGGCGTAAACAGAATGAGAACATGGATCCATCATGCCTTGTTAACACTGTGAAGGCTGCTGGTGGTGGTGTAATGGTGTTGGGGATGTTTTCTTGGCACACTTTAGGCCCCTTAGTGCCAATTGAGCATCGTTTAAATGCCACGGCCTACCTGAGCATTGTTTCTGACCATGTCCATCCCTTTATGCCCACCATGTCCCCATCCTCTGATGGCTACTTCCAGCAGGATAATGCACCATGTCACAAAGCTCGAATCATTTCAAATTGGTTTCTTGAACATGACAATGAGTTCACTGTACTAAAATGGCCCCACAGTCACCAGATCTCAACCCAATAGAGCATCTTTGGGATGTGGTGGAACGGGAGCTTACATTTCTAAAGAATGCTTTCAGCACCTTGTTGAATCAATGCCACATAGAATTAAGGCAGTTCTGAATGCGAAAGGGGGTCAAACACAGTATTAGTATGGTGTTCCTAATAATCCTTTAGGTGAATGTATCTATCTATCTATCTATCTATATATATATAAAAATTTTTATTGTGTTAAAGTAACATTTCATGTGCAAACTCACTGTGATGAAGAAAGTGTAACAGTCAGGAATTTCATTGTGGATGATGGTCTGAAGATTTATAGCCTTTAGCTGGAACTGTATGGTGACATTAATGAGCCTGAGAGAGAGTGTGTGTTGATATTACGGTTTTAGATAATTAATTAATGGAAATAAGTAGAATTAAATAAAAAAAAAAAATCCACACTTAACTTACTTGTGAAACTTAAGGGTGAAGTTTCTGTAATCGCGGCCCAGACCTGCTGTGGGAGTGGCCAAAGGGTTTACACCCATACAGTCTACAGAGAGGAAGAGAGAAATTGTTTAGCACCTAAACCAGCCTCAGTGACCGAGAGGGTCATCCGACGATTTATTTTAGAATACATGAGAAAGTGATTCCTGTGTCTCAGTAACAAGGAACTGCAAGTAACAACGTGCAAAAGAGGAAATGACATGGTCTTTTAGTTTCATCAAGTTTTAATCAGTAAAAAAATATTGTTGGTTTAACCTAAAAAAGTAAGTAACCTGGTTGCCTTAAAATTTTAAGTTCATTGACATAGAAAAAAGTGAGTTAATACAATGAAGGAGAATGATTTAATCATCAGAAACTCAAAATTATATGTTATCTGAACTAAAGAAATTATTTAAGTTGATTTGACAAAAGAAAAAATGTTGTGATTACTAGTCGTGAAAAGATTTTTTTTTTTTTTCCAGTGATACAGTGTTGCTTGTTATACTAATAACTAATATAGCAAGTTCATGAAGTATCTGCCTTGATCCTATACATACCTGGACAGGTATATTTCTCAGATTAAACAATGATAGAACAATTGAGGAAAAAGAGGGCAAAAACTTGTCACCTGTGACCACATGCGGATCGATGTTGAAGGTGTCGTTAGCTGGGTCAATCTGGCCTTTTTTATAATACTGCTGACACAGAGAAAGAGCACTCCCGTTCACACCGACATCGTACACATATGCATAGCGGCCCACTGTCGTCTCCGGCAAAGCCAGGTACTGAAAGACAAGTGAATACAAAGGCCGTTAAATAAGGATAATATATTTTGTCCTAAAAACATAAATTCAGAAAACAAAATTGTGTTATGACTTGACTGGTCTCGCTGCCCAAATAGTGCATGTGTCATTGTCAAAATTATACATTACCTGTTCTATTGTGTAATGCATATGATCATAAACATCCCTCTGTGTGTAAACAGCAAGCGCGTCATCTGAGTCAGCGTAGTCTTTGAGAAAGAGGTGTTTAAACGAGGCTGTGTTTTCCTCTTTAAACGTCACCGCCATCTCGTTGCTTAAGCCAAAAAGTACCAGCTGGAGATCATGACAAAGCAAAAACGTAAGAATTTGTATATATATATGGGTGTGTGTGTATTTATATATATTAGGGCTAAGCAACGATTAATCACGATTAATCACATCAAAAATAAAAGTTGGTGTTTACATTATATACGTGTGTGTACTGTGTATAATTATTTTGTATATAAAAATTCACACACATGCATGTATATATTTAAGAAAAATGTGTTATTAATATATAAAATATTCATATTTATATTTAATATCAATTGTGTGTAAAAAAAAATATATAGTATATACGTGCAAATATTTCTTGAATATATACATGCATGTGTGTGTTTATACATACAAAATAATTATACACACTAAACACACATATATTCTGTAAACACAAACTTTTATTTTGGATACGATCAATCGCGATTAATCATTGCCCGGCGCTAAAAAAAATAAAAAAAATAAATATATATATATATATATATATATATATATATAAGGGTTAATTCTGGGATTCTAGGGAATGTCACAGAAGTTAAGAGATCATTTAATAAGCTGTGGGTTGAGTATACAAGCCCCAGAAAGAGAACAACACTACAAAGAAAATCTAAGATTAAATAAATACCTGTATAGTTACTATAAGAACCTTCAGCATTTGCAGAACCAGTTTAAAAGGTTTTCTGCCTTTGGCTTGGTACTTTTCACAAGGACTCATAAAGAAATATTTTAACTTCCTGCGCAACTCTTCCTCTTCTTCACCAGCACCTATCCAGCCATCTGTTGTCGGCCGAGTCGTCCTGGGGTTACTATACTCATCCATGCAGTCATTCGAACCATAGTGAGTCACCGGAAATAATAGCCTATCCTCTTCTGAAAAAGAAAGAGAGAGACAGATAGCATTAGTTGGACAGTTCACAAAGTAAATGGTCTTTTTGCTTGAAACCACTGTTATTCTTTCTATTACATTTAACGTTTCAAAAGTTTGGGGTCAATATGATTATAAAATGTTTTTTTTTTTTATTCAGCAAGGATGCATTAAAGGGTTAGTTCACCCAAAAATTAAAATTATGTTATTAATGTCTTTTCCCGAGTCAGTTCGTTTATTTCGTTCGTTGAATGAACCAAATGACACGAAAACAGATTCATTAATTTTGATGAACGAGTTCGAACAGGAGAGTCACACAGAACAGAGCAAGGCGACCATTTGAGCTTATAAAACTTAAACTTTGTTGTTGTTTGTTAAATGAGTGATCTTTTCGCTACATAAAACCCTTATTCATCGTCTGGAATCGTTTAAAGCCCTTTGAACAGTTTGCAGTTTGCACTGAAACGGTCTTTTGGACCTTGAACCGTTTGGTTCCCAATGAAGTCCATTATATGGAGAAAAATCCTGGAACGTTTTCATTCAACGTTCAAAAAAGTGAACTACTCCTTTAAAACTGTGTCCCGAAGATGAACGGAGGTCTTACGGGCTTGGAAAGACATGAGGGTGAGTCATTAATGACATAACTTTAATTTTTGGGTGAACTAACCCTTTAAATTGATCAAAAGTGACAGTAAACACATTTATAATGATACAGTAAACATTAAAATAGAAAACATTTATTTTAAATTGTAATAATATTTTACAATATTACCGTATTTTTACTGTGTTTTGATCAAATAAATTAACAAAAGTATCTTGCTTGATACATACAGTGAATTAAACAAAACTTGATCAAATTTGGATTCATATTTGCATCATAAGGATACAGTAGTGAACTTTATTCAAAATAAGAGAAAAATAAAAGACAATTGAAAGAGAAGATGGCCTCAACTAGAGCCTTGACGTGACCTTCAGTCTAACGTTACTTGAGTAAGTCAGAGACGGCTTAGGCTATATGTTGCAGGTCCACTCAACAGATGAGAATTGTCTTTTAATATTAAATGAGGGTGAGAGAGACAAGAGTTCTGTGTTGTCTTTATTTAAACATACCAGTAGTATTCAAAACAATGAAGAAAATACAATATTCTTAACTATGAATAAATGTAATACACATTTGATCTCGTGTAACATTAGGTATCTCGGGTTGAATGATACACTAACAGACTTCTCGATGACATAACTATACTAAAATCATTAAAGGGGTCATGAACTGGCTTTTTAAATTTTATTATATTGTTGTCTGAGGTCAACTTATGACGTTCGCTTGGTTTTTACATTCAAAAACATAAAAATGAATAAGTAATAGGCTATTTTCTACCCTAGTTCTGAGCACGGCTGAAAAACGCTCGGTTTTTATGGACGTCTCGCACTGAAGACTGAAGTAAACACCCACTGCTGTGAGTGGATAACAGTTTTGCATATTATAATGAGTTTCACTCTCGATCCGGTTTATCATCACGAGCTAGGCCAATGTAATTTAGCTATGCGTGTAAAGCGCAAATCGATGGGCGGGGCTAAACCGGCCGTGTTGAAGTGCGGGGGTGGGGTTTTATCCTCTTTGACGTCATAATTCCCCACTTCGAAAAACGAGTCGTTTGCTGAGGTGTCAATAAAAGCTTTTATCGGACTAACAAGGACGTTTTCAGTTCTGAAACTTACAGGATATTCTTATCATATGATGACCTCTTAGATGTCAAAAGCTCAAGGAAAATTTGATTTCTCAGTTCATCACCCCTTTAATAAAATGAACATTCACTTCACATTCACAAGTTAAAAGCATTTGACTAACAGTTTTTTCCTCTGAAAATTGTCCGACAATTTTTACGAACCTTTAGCATTGACTAAGAGAGAAACACGAGTTAGGTGTTCTTATATTATTCAAGCTCTGTGTTGTCTGATGAGCCACAGTCGTCATGGTAACTATCAAACTCTCAACTGCCACTCTCAGAATTTAAAAAATGCAGCTTAATTCCCTGCAAACTCACATTATAACACTATCACTAGTACACACACGCAAACAACAAATAATATACCATAAATAACATTCTTGAGAATTCAATGTGGGAGTTCAGTCACATTTACATGCACACAATCTGAAACTTGATATCTGACGCGTGTTCTCTTCTTCAAAGTGTGAACACTTGAGGAATGGGTGGTTTGTCAAAGACTTGTGTTGGCGTGAATTTGATCTATGAGACAACAGACTAGCGTTACTGTTAAGGCTTCACCGTAGCACTCAATGCAAGCGTCATGCACAGCTTTGACATCTACATGAAGCGTTTCACATTATATCATGGACAGGATCAGGATAGGATTTTGTGTGGTTGCCAGGTAGCAGGGAAGTGAAAGGGGAACACCAAAACTTTCTGTACGACTTGACTTTATCCAATGACTTCTGTGCACTGCCCTTGTAAAGAAGTGAAATGTTGAATTTATCAGAACTTATCGATTATCGCATTACAGCGCTTGGCTTGCTGGCAGCAAATCTTAATGTTTCACTCCATCGCGTGCTGGTGCAAGTCATGTGAAAGGGCTTGTTAGCTTAGTTAGCTTGTCTAGTAGCCTGGCTGGTTTGTAAATGAATGTTGAGTTTTGTCTCTATGTGTGGCCTCTAATCTTTTTATCTTCATTTGCAACAATGAAAAAGTGTTAATAATGTCAATCTTGCGGATGCATTTCCTGTTCTGTAAAGATAATCTAGACTGAAAGGAAAGTAAAATAAAAAAGTGTGAGGGTCAGCCACTCAAATGAGATTAGTGATCACAGCGTATCAGTGCTGACAAATGGGAAATGTCATACAACTCAGTGTTTTATTACAGCAAAACAGAAAAGTCTAACTAAACGGACTAAATGCACTGATATTTCTCTAATTTCCAAGTTCCTGTAACGTCCACATTGAGCAACTGAGATTTCCCTATTTCTTTACTCTTTTGAACATTGGACCAGCTGATGCATGATTAAGCAAAAAATGGAGAGAGACTATAGACCTTATTCAGAGCAGCGCCATGACAGGTATGAAAGTGAGGCTGTGAGGGATAGACTTACCGTGTTTCCAATGGCATCCGCTGTAAAAAGCTGAATAAAGCTCCTAGATTACTTACAATTTTTTCACAGCTTACATTGTCAGGAGTTTTTTGTCAACTGACATTTCTTTGAAAGATATTTTTCCAGTGTTTCATGAGCAGAACAATCCAAAAGCACATTAAATAACAGTACAGCCCATTGAAGAGATGCAAGTCTATCCCTCACAGCCTCGCTTTCATTCTCATTAAAAATCAAAGATGGCGCTGCCGTGAATAAGGCGTATGGGCCTATTTTAACGATCTGAAATGCAAGTATCAAGTAACTTTGTGGGCGGGTCTTGGCAACACAAGTTTAAAAGGGGTTGTTCTGACTCTGAAGTAGCTTCATTATTCCTAGGTGTGGTTTGGGCGTAACGTGAAATAAACCAATAAAAGCGTCATCCAACATACCCTTTAAGAGCACGGTGCGCGCAATTCTAATATAACGGCGCAATCACAATCGGTTCACAGCCGAGGAGCTCGATGTTCTCGTAAGGGCCGTAAAAGAAAGAGAAGTGACATTGGGGATGGGACAAACCCTCCCAAATTAGCTTCGGTTAAACATGCATATAATTATTTGGGTAAATGTGTAAGCTTTATGCCTATTTTTCCCATCGTCATGGACACAACAATGATTTCCCTCGTGTTAAAATTTTTTTTCCTTACAATAATGTATCATTTGCAAAAAGTAAAATGCATCTGTGTAAATGCGAGAATCATCTACAGTGTATGCGCGTTGTTCACACTCTGTATTATGGCCAAGCATGACCGCTTACAATAGCATCTGAATGTCCGTGCAACGCGCCACTGACTTTAGACTAGGTGTCGCAATTGTTTTCTGGAACTGCAAAATAGCACTGGGGAATGTTTACGCCGAAACACGCTTATTTTATGCGCCGACCCGCCCAGGGAGTGCAAGTTAATTCCCTAGTTTACCGACGTGTGTCTGTGGAGGGAAAAGTCAGCTTTGCGCGGGTGCAAAGTAGGAATGATACATGCGTCAGTGTTTAAAGTCATTAGCGCCGGGTGCAGAGTAGGCTATTTATATTTATGCAACTCTTCCCATTGCTCTGTCTCTCTAATCAAAACCATCATTGTTCATCTAGCAGCAGGTCTGTGTCGGTCCGTCTGTCGGAGTCACTGGAACCTTCCCTTATCACATTTTTGTTACGGTATAACAGGAAGATTTTGAATGCAGTCTATTGGAGCGATAAAATCTTGGCAGCAACGCTGCGACACTCGCGAGTGTCTGAAGCCTCTCACGAGCACTGGTGTTTGTCTACAAGCGATAGAGTCAATCAAATGCAAAGAATAAACTGAAAAATCTCATCTATCCTGTTTTGCAGCAAGTTTTCTAAGATCGTGTGCAATGGGTCCTCACACGTTCTTGCTCTCATAAGTAAATATCAGCATGTTATAATTAACCCTATCACACACGACATCTACTTTTTTCGTTCTGCCGTGGCCAAGATCTATGTCTAAGTGATCTATATCTATATGTCTAAGTTAAACAACAACACACAATCATGAATCAAAATATATGAACAAAATAGTCATGCCCAACAATTTCAGCAACAGAAAATATTTGGCAAAAACAGAAAAATAGATGAATGGTTTTGAAGGGCCAAAATCACTGATTGAAATAGTGACATTTAAGGCTGTGTACATTAATCCTTCAGAAAACCTTTTGAATCATTTTGAAGATTCTTCTTAAAGTGGGTATATTTTAAAAAGATTGTTTTTACATGATTGTACAGTGTGTGGACTATGAAAACGGAGGTGTTTGAAAAAGAAGATGCATGTTTAGCCATGTGACGTACACTGTACCTATGCTTAGACCGGCATGTGTGCTATCTTCATATTACATTCCTGCAAATAAGACAGAAAATGTACTTACAATTGTTGTTGTGCGGCAAAGCATGATGGCAATTGCGTTTTAGACCATAGATGGAATAGCGATTGAGTGCGACCTAGATGCGCCAGTAAGTAGTGGAATATTTTGTTATAAAAAAAAAAAAAAATTTGTGTTGATTATGTCTGGTTTCTCTGTCTCATCTCAGTGAGCTTTGATTATGTATTATGTATGCGTAGTAAAATAATTTAAGTGCCAGTGTGGAGTGAACGAGCAACTTTAGGAAAAGCTATGTCAGCTGTGTGAAGCACTTTACTGTGACCAAAAAGTATGCTAAAATAGAAATATTTAAATTTGCTTGGCAGAAAAATCGTGAGCTGAATTCACCTCTGGAAAGATGAATGTGTATTTAAAATGGGTCATTTATGTAGAAGAAATGTGAAAATATTTTTGAATTTGGAGCTTTCTAGACTGAGAAAAGACAGAAAATGCAATTTTGGCTTATGTGGATGAAAGACAACAATTCCCAGAACGCACCGGTCTCGTATCTCTCACGGAGGAGCGGAAATTTTCTTAGCAATGTAAAAACGCACATCAACCGATCACTTGTTTAGCGTTCATGTAAACACTACATTCAGATTCACCAATCGGAATGAATTCAGTTGGATTGAAACAAAAGCTTTGCATGTAAACAATGAATGTCGACTGCAGAAAGCAAAAGCTGAATCCCGGACATCGATGGCTGGACATGTCCGGGAAAAAAGAGGATGGTAACCCCAACTACTCAGATTTCTCCACAGAACAAGAGCCTGCTAGCTTAGCTTCCAAAAAAAGATGGCCGACACTATGTGTTCATTCTGTGAGTGAGATCGCCCTCAATGGGCGGGTTGAGAACATGCGGGACAGCCCTACTACTGACTGTAGTCTTTAGCCTCTGGACAAAAAATCTTCCGATGACGCAAAAAATACATAAATCTCTCGTCTCAGGGGGATATGAGGGTGGAAAGCACGGTAATTAGAAAGTGCTACAAGTTTTCTACTAATACAAAGCTTAAGCGTTGAAAAAAAAAAAAACTTCTCCGTCTAGCGCATGTTTTACAATGAATGATCTGTGAGAACAGACCCTTTTGCAACTGATTATACATTTTGTAGTTAATGTGAATTGATGTTAGCATAGCAACCCATTTTGCTTTTTGTATTTTATATATTTTTGAGTAAAACCATAATTGGCGGGTGGCCTGTAGAACTTGCTTTAATCCATTGTGAATAGATTGAATGTTGAAAAGTGGGTGTTACATTGCAGAACAGACTTAGACTAAATTTTAATTTCCTATAATAAATAATTAAAGATTACAACAACAACAAAAATCCTTTGAAATAACATCCACCGATGACACTTTCACAAAGACTAAGACATTAAGAAGTTAAATTTATGAAACCAAATACATGAAAATTTTGATTTTATGCTTACGTAAGATTTTACGTAATTACTAGTCTGGAAAGTGATATGGAACAGTGTTTTGGTCAACAAATCTTGAACTACTTATTGGCCATGAAATTTTGGTTCCCAACTAATTCTGTGGCAGAATGTTTCATTCCTAATGGATAGTAAATGTGCAATAGGACTTTGGAAAGTCTGTCAGCCCATCAAAATGAAGAACTCAACAAAACTGAGGTATAAACAAATCTACAACTCCCAAGATATTTCAGTGAGTCTTGAGGAGATCAGGTTTAGATGATTTTTATGGTCATTAAAAACTGAGTGAAATGAAAATGAAAACAGGTGGCAAATATGTAGCGTTGTGCTTTATGACCACATAAACACAACATCAGGACTCTGTATTATGGTGTAATAATGGAACACGAATGAGGAAGAAAAAACGAAAACAAGCAAGTGGAAAACACATCGCATACATTATTTATCCACTAAAACAGCAGTGTATCCGACCTTGTGAATCATCCAAACCACTAAACGTCAAATAAATTGTTGATCACGGTCTCGTGAGTCGTGACCGTGATCAACAAACTTTGACATTTGATTTTCTTGTGCATCTTAAGAACTTCATATACATTACACACGCACAACAACACAAACAAATAATAATTAAATCACTATTTAGTATTCCACTTCATTAAAATTCAGTGCTAGATCCGTTCTTGCTGTAATAACACCTCACTGACGCTCTCATCGCATGCATTATTACAGCCGATCACTCACCGAAGGGAATGTTGGCTTTATTCGCGTCCACAGCGGCCATGTCAGCGATTTAAAATCACGTGCAGAGGCTGTCGGCATTAAAACCCCCGGTTGATTCACATCACAATAGTATCTGATTATGTTCAACAGGATTTTTTGTTCCTCTGTAGTTATCTGACGGGTTCTTCACCGGTTACCTCATGTTTACAAGCATACAGACTCGCGATCCGCGAGCGACACAGAACTTCCGATGCTTGAGGTCATGTGACAACATCATGTGACCATCTGACGCTCATGAGGATGAGGTGCCATAACACTTTATTGTGTGTATGTGGTATGTGTAAAGATGTCTTGTTTTATAAGTTCTGAGCCTCTTATTGTTTTAACTCTGTCACAAAAATTTGCAAATATGTTTGGAATCCCCTTCTCAAATTTACTCCCCCAAAAATGTCTACTTTATTTCATATGATGTTCAAAACATGGTTATTTTGACGTTTTTTAGGGCCCAAGCCCTGAAAGGGCGAAGGCCCTATTGTTTTCCTTGCGATTATTTTTCTTCTCTATTATTATAATAATTATTATTTTACTACCTTTTGGGCACTTTTGGGGCCCTTAACGTGCTCGAAAACTCTTGAAACTTTGCACACGGGTCAGAACCCGCGGCCATCAGAGCCGGGCTGAAGCTGGTACCTGGGCGTGGCAGGGGGGCTCGTCAGCGCCCCCTGGAACGGGGTCCGAACACTCGGTCCATAACTCAAACACGCTTGCATGTAATAATATGAAACTCGGTACACATGTTGATCTCATCGTTTCATCTATACCTCGCGCTCTTACTTTTTACCCCAGCCCAACAGGAAGTCGGCTATTGAGGTTTGTTTGTAAAACGCTCGCAATGGTATTTGAAATACTCCTCCTAGAGCTTTGATCCACATTCGACGAAACTCGGTCAGCGTGAAGTCAAGACATTGAGGATGAAAGTTTGCGAGGGGATTTTTGATATCTCGAACGGTTTGTCCGTGGCGAGGAAACGAAATCATGGCGAGAAACGTGAAACAGGAAGTGTGTTATAACTTCAGCATACATTAACTGATCTTGATGAAACTTCAGCAGTGTGCTCGCTGTAAGAGGACGATCACATGGATGTGACTATTGTGAGTAAAAGTTATAGCGCCACCAACTGGCAGCAGGAAGTGTGTCACTTTCAAAATGCTTTGAAATCACCCTTTTATTTTTACCCGATTTGCTTCAAACTTCATCTGTATAATGTAAACATACGGCAGATGTAGACCTGTGAATGGATTCTTGATATCTTTGATACTGTTGCCGTGGCAACGCATCAAACTTTACCCTTCTTTTAGGATGCTTTTAGGAAGCTTTTGAGACCCTTAGCATGCTTCAAATTGCATGAAACTCGACAGACACATAACATTTATTAGCCAGTAGACATGTGCAAAGTTGCAGAAACGGGCGTGGTGAGGGCTCAGTAGCGCCACCTTTTGACAAAAGTGGGGTGGTTAGTTTTAACTAGAGTTACAAAAATTGGTATGTATATTGTACTCCTCGAGCCGGACAACTTTCTAATTGACACTTATTAGCTAGGACCCACAGAAAGTCAGATATTTTTGTTTGAATATGGCCACTCTGAGCCTACATGTCTCTGTGTCTCTGTGTCTTTGGCTGGCTGGCTGTCTGTCTGTCTGTGTGTGTGTGTGTGTGTGTGTGCAGGGGGAGGGGGCTTAACCATTTCACTGCTGTGTGTATGACCTGCATAAAGAAAATACATTTCTCAAGCCTGGTATTTTTTAATTAAGTTTTTATTTTTATTTTTTATAAGTAAAGGCATATAACCAGTTTAATTGTAGTGAATTGACAATAGTTTTATATAATTAGTTTATTAATCAGATTAACTTGGTCAATAAACTTGGTCTGAAAATTTGGTCCATAAATCAAACACACTTGTATGTAATAATATGAAACTTGGTACACATATAGATCTCATCGTTTCATATATACTTCACACTCTTACTTTTTACCCCAGCCCAACAGGAAGTTGGCTATTTAGGGTTGTGTTTAAAACACATGCAATGGAATTTAAATTATTGCTCCTAGAGCACTGAACCAAATTCGCCGAAACTCGATCAGCGTGAAGCAGACATGGGGACTTGTGACTTGGTGACTTGGACTCGAGTCGACTCGAGTCGCTATTTTTATGACTTGTGACTTGACTTGACAAAAAATAAAATACTTCAGACTTGACTCGGACTTGGGAGTTAAAGACTCGGGACTTGACTTGACTTGAGACACGATGACTTGAATGACTTGAGTGTTAATCACATCATGTTTTCAGTTTGAATATAAAATATATAAATTATGTAAAAAAAAAATAAAGTTGATCCAGCTGGAGCGCAGGCTGAGAATAGCGCTGTCATGACTGGATCACGAGATCATCAGTCATGCCCTCTCATACCTTACGCACACCACGCCCACTTACATCAGATCACATCAACATGTCAGCCGGAGGGATACCGAGGGTCGTTGCTTTCGGCTTCAAGAATTTCTCAAAACAAGATGGCAAAAGAATAGCGCTTTGCAAGACATGCAACGTTAAGATCGCGGACAGCCAGACGACAACCTCCAATTTCGTCCGTCATTTGAAGAGCCATTCTGCCCAGTAAGTGCTTGTCAATTTGTTAATGTTATCTGGTTAGCTCGTTCGTAGTTAGCTAGCTAATGTAAGTTAAAGGAGAACTCCGGCGCAAAATTACACATTTCCTAGTCAACCATTATCTGAGATTTGTTTTCATGATTGCCGAATGTAAATAGATTTATCTATAAAAACAGTTTAGCCTATAACGCTAGTATATAGGGCATAGAGTAATGACAAATAAAAATCGCTTGTTATTACCACAAGGCTCAAAATAGCCCCACACTAACATAATAAGTGTCCCTACATTCAAAACGAAGCATTGAGAACTTTGTCAGTGTCCATACAGTTTAATAAGAATATATTTTATACACACAGTCAACTTCACGAATACAGGAAGAAGCTCAGGGAGTTCAGTTTTCCTGTAGGAACCCCTAGCAATACTGCCCTACAAAGGCAAAGCGCAGTAACTACACATTTGGTCAAAAATGAGTTAAGACTTGTAATGGGCTTTATGACATGTGTTCTGTCTTGTGAAAAAATATCTGGGTTAAATTATGTCCCATTTCGGAGATGCATTACCACATAATCTACCCATAACATGTTTTACTGGCTGGTATAAAAACTTTAAAGACCTTTTTCTCGCTGTTTCTTTGTTTGTGTAGTTAGTTACAGCACTTTGCCTTTGTAGCAACCAATAACGTTCCGGAGGGAGGATTTCTACAACTTGCTTGAACAGTTCCATTTTATTCTGAACACAAATTTTAAACACACACCAGTCAACAATAAATCAGGTTTATATTAATATATTTTCTTAAATGCATTTTAAATAATAAAAATAAACTAAAAATTTATTTTTATCAAACTTGACTGGGTGTAATTACTGGGAGTAAGTGAGTAATGTCTAATGCTTTTTGAAAACTTAAGGCTTTTTTCATAAAACAAGTCAGGACATCATCTCATTTTTGTATACATTTTTATTTCTTTAAATTAGTAAGCTAGTAAATGAATGCGTCATTGTACCCAAATGCACTTCCGAATGCGCCTCTGTCCATTTCAAACCAAACTGATGCCCATAGATGCATGTTTAGAAGAGTTTCAATTGCATGGGAGGGAGTAGCCAGCTAGCTCTCTGTTTTGTTTGAACATCAACAAGTGATGTTACCCCGCCATTGCTGATACATTTAAAACATTTAAAACATTTCAAATTGCTGAAAATTTAAAACATTTCAAACACACTATTGGCAGAACTGAAAAATAAATAATTTTATTAAGTTACAATTTTGTTTGATTCCATGATGTATTTTACTGAACATGAGTATTTACAATGCAAATCCAAATTATTGTAATTTACTGGCAAATACTTATCTTGTCATTTCACTTTATTAAGATCAGATTCTGCATGTAAAATTACAATAATAAGGTGACTTGACTTGCACTTGACTTGACCTACTACAAGACTTGACTTGACTTGACTTGACATAGCCTGTGACTTGACTTGACTTGACTTGCCCCCCCAAAAAATACTTGGGACTTACTTGAGACTTGACGGTTAAGACTTGAGACTTACTTGAGACTTGCACATGTGTGACTTGGTCCCATCTCTGGCGTGAAGTCAAGACATTAAGGATGAAAAGTGCCACGGGATTTTTGATATCTCGAACGGCTTGGCCGTGGCGAGGAAACGAAATTATGGCGAGAAACATGAAACAGGATGTGTGTTATAACTTCAGCATACATTAACTGATCTTGATGAAACTTCAGCAGTGTTTTCGCTGTAAGAGACCGATCACATGGATGTGACTATTGTGAGTCAAAGTTATAGCGCCACCAACTGGCAGCAGGAAGTGTGTCACTTTCAAAATGCTTTGAAATCACTCTCTTATTTTTAACCGATTTGCTTCAAACTTCATCTGTATAATGTAAATACATGGCAGATGTAGACCTGTGAATGAATTTTTGATATCTTTGATACTGTTGCCGTGGCAAAGAAACAAACTTTAACATTCTTTTTTGATGCTTTTGGGACTCTTAGCATGCTTGAAATTGCTTGAAACTCAACAGATACATCACATTTATTAGCCAGTAGACATGTGCAACTATGGCAAAAGATTAAAGTAATGTCAAAAAAGTAAACACTAAAAGCCTCATATCTTCTAAAAATGTAATTATACATCATTTGTTTCTAAATTAAATTATACAAATATTATAACTTCCCCAATTTTTCCTTTTTTTCATTTAAGAATTATGTTTACGTTCAAAAACAGCCAGAATTGTTGTAAAATTCAGAAAAAAATAATAATCTGAGTCATACGTAGTGCTATACTGCCCTCTTGTGTTCAATATCAGGTAGGCCTATTGTGTATTCCCACCGGTTAATCAACGTGTGACTCCGCTGGGACTTGGGAGCTTTTAAATCGCTTACTTAAAACCGAAAGTCAAAATACGGATGTCCGCACAAGACATTAATGGTGTGGAGTAGAGCGAGCATTTTAAATAAATTCCTATTAAGTAGGATTGAACTACACAGAAAGAATGTTCACTCTGTTCTGCTGGTTCCTCGCTGGTGGATCATATGATTACTTTGTCATAATCTATGACAAAAATGCTATTATAAACTATATTAATAATAGATAATACACATTGCTCTTATTTTTGAAAAATACATTCATGAAAAACAAGATAACAAAAATCATACAAGAATATAGCCATGGCTGCTATAAATGTTTGAAATGCATAGGACAGATGTTTAATGACGCAGCAACATATAATTGAAAGGCAATTAATAATCTGTCATTACGTCACTGCATTATGATATTACGGCTCCAATACGGTGCAGCACAAAGCACTTATGTGCATCCCGAGCGGAGAATGATGTGCTTGAAGCCACATGAAGTTACAGCGCAGTGAGTCCGTATTGAAAAGTTCAAAGCACAAAGGAAATACATATTTATGAACAGTGTATTATACATTATCTATCTATGCAATAGTTTATTGAGCCTTTTCCTTTAAAGGTTTTAAATTTCAGTTACTGTGTGCGTGAAGAACAATTATAGTGCTCTGACTCTAGTGTTGTGATCTAACCGACAGCGTCCGACACCCGGTAGAAAGTAACACGGTTAAGTTACAGCAATAAAGTCCAGCAAGAAAAAGTTTCTTCATTCGAAAATATAGACCTTTAGACCTTTATCTTAAAGATCCAGTATAATAGGATTAACATTCAATCATCTTGAAGATCGTTTCATCATTGACTGTAACCGAATGTGACGTGCTGTTTGAATGCTGAATGGAGAATGACTGACAGGCGCAGAGAGGGAAAAGTTTGTGTTCTTGAATTTAATGACTTAAATATTAATTTCTATATCACATAATAGCTTCAGAACACTAATAATACAGTACACAAAAACTTTATGGTACTTTAGAAAGTTTTTGTGCCTTTGTGCCTAACATAGAATAGTATATATATGCACAATATAGAATTTGAATCAGCCTCGTCAAAGATGGCAGTGTCAGAGCCGATACCGATCCTGAGTATCTAATCGGCGCACTTCTTTTCAACAGTCAAATTGAAATTGAAATTGAAATTGCTTGAAACTCAAAAGATACATCACATTTATTAGCCAGTAGACATGTGCAAAGTTTCAGAAACGGGCATAGTGCAAGGACTAAATAGCACCACCTTTTGACAAAAGTGGGGTTGTTAGTTTTATCTACAGTTACAAAAATCGCTATATACATTGTACTCCTCAAGCCGGACAACTTTCTAATACATAGTCATTATCTCGGACCAAGAGGAAGTCAGATATTTTGGTTTGAATATGGTGAGCCTCTCTCTGAGCCTACGTCCCTGTATGGCAAGCCCTTTTAACATTTAAAAGCTAAGTTTGCCTGTCCGGAATTAACATTGTAGATATCAACAACGTCTTTCTGTCTATTCGTAATTACATTTTGGATAGTTTGTATTATCATTTAAGATATCTGTAACATAATTGTGACTAGTCGAAATGACAGAGTATGGCAAGCCGTTTTAACATTTAATCATAAAAGGGCCAAAGCCTTCGGCACCGCCACCCGGGTGCATTTAGGTAACTAAAGGAACCGGGGTTGCGGTGCCACCGGCTTGGGCCCGCCATCGCTGCTCGCAGCTATATTTTGTTTTGTTTTTTAGGTGATTCAAAGTTGAAACCATGCTGTCATAATTCATTTATTATCTGAGGTGAATGATAGGCTGTATGTAATGTCGGTTAGGCTATATACACACATCTGTGGCCAAAAGAATTGGCAGTGTCATACCTTTCTCTTTTGCTGCTTCAATTGTTGTGGTGTTGATTCACGTTTCTAGACTATTGTGCAGAGTGATCATATGCATTTCAAATAATTGCAAAAGGTTTCATGGGCCAAAAAATGTAACTTTTTTCACACAAAAAAACCAGCGCTGCCGCTACCACAAAATGACCAGCTAACGACATTCCAGTAATCATCTTTTGGCACTTAGCAAAGTGTGAAAAAAATACTATTATTCTGATTGGATTATAAGAGCATACACAAGCTATAAAAGGAGGGAAGTCCTTCCAGTCACTGTTTTCTTGTTTTAGCAATGGTTACCTCCAAAGAAAAGCAAGCCATCGTTGCTTCAAAATGGACTCACATGCAAGGGAAATGCTTCATGAATATTTTTTCAGCAGGAGTGACGAAGGCTTTAGGATGTAAACCGAGTGTCCAGCGAGTTCCAGGACAATCTCCTCCTATGGAATCGGGTCACCACTAGTGCAGAACTTGCTCAATATTGGCAGGAGGAGGATGTGATGCACCTGCACACACACACAGCGAAGCAAAGACATTTGGACAATGGCCTGGTGTCAAGGCCTGAAACCACTTCTTTGTCTGGAGAAGAAAAGGTTATGCCAACAGCGAACCATCCTGAGAACATCCATGTGTGGTCTCTCTCACAATTCTGCCCAAAAACATTAAATAAAGAATGGTATCAAAATGCCCAGCAAGAGCAGCTTCTCCCAACAGTCCAGGAGCGATTTGTCACCATGTCAAGGCGAGAGTGATCATGAAATGATTCAGAGATCATTACATATAAATTTTGTATCTTTTGCAACTGGCCAGGCAAGTCTCCGAATCTTAATCCCATAGCAAACATGAGGTCAATCCTCAAACGGCAAGTGATCAAGCAATAATCTACAAGTACAATGTATGTCACTGCCAAAATGTGGTTGTATAAACAGTATATGAGGAAAATACGTATTTGAACACCCTTCAATTTTGCATGTTCTCCCACTTGGAAATCATGGAGGGGTCTGAAATTGTCATCGTAGGTGCGTGTCCACTGTGAGAGACATAAAAAAAAAAAAAAAAAATTTTTAAAAAATCTTTACATTGGGAGAACTTGCAAAATAGCAGGGTGTTCAAATACTTATTTTCCTCACTGTGTATATATATATATACATATATTTTTTTCTTCCTTTTGATTTATTTATTGGTCTTGACCCATTCTGAGTGACTGGTGGGTGTATTTTTGTTTTGTTATTAAGAACATTAGCTTAAGTTAAATACCGCTGTTATATTTCAGTGTTGTCCCAATAATCAAGAATTAATGTGAGGCAACATATATTGACTCATTTGGGAATAGTTCACAATGATTTTTACAACATGACACCATTTACAAGAAATGAAGTCAGAAGCACTACCAAAGGCCATGATTACACTTGATTACACACAACTCCTAAATCCTGGTCCCGATAAAAACTACCACTTACTAGTTATTGCAACTGTAATAAAACTGTTGTAACTATTGTTAGCCAACAGTCATCATCAAAACAAACAGACAAAATGTTACTATAATATAGTATTAATAATAATCATTGTCACGTTGAGGTATTAACTATTACATATAACTATGGACTGTATTTCCCGATCTCTTCATGCAATTTACAAAGACTTTATTATATTGTAAGACAATGAAAGAACAAATGAAACACAGATACATAGATCAATCCTCTATAATACAAAAATGATCAAGAAGTCCAAATCTAATTAATGCTGTAAATAAAACTTCATATACATATTTAATTTTGCCATATGTACATTGTCCGCAAAATTTTGGAAAAATCCAGCACATTTTATCCTCAACTCAATGAGAACCAAACCTAACAATCTATTCAATTCTGATTTAATTGATTAATTATTACAATTTATGCATGCTTTGTTTCAGTACATATGCAAAATGGACATCCAAAGATTAAGAACTGTATAACCCTTCACTGCATTAGTGTATCAGTAAAGACATTTTTTTTTTTGGACTAGTGAGGTGACTGTGCTGTCCTCATCTATATTCTGTAACATCATTAATAAAGCAAGAGAGCCAGATACAGGCATGAAGTTATTTGAGATGCTAGATGCAGTGAATTTGTTAGCTATAAAAATGAATGAAAATTCAATTCAACTTAAATCCTATTTAGACTCCAGACTCGAGGGTAAACCTTGAGACTTGATTCTGATCAATCTGCTATCTGCCATCAAGAGCTTTATCTCGAGCAATGACTGCCTCATCAAACTTGATCATCAGAGTGGTTCCCTTATGCCAGTGGACCGTGACTTTGGCTGGGAAGCCACTGTGGGTTAGGATAGCCTCCACAATGCCACCAGTGAAGGCCGCACAGTTTAAAGTGCTGTTCTCCTTAGGTACTGATATGTAGGCATTGATCAATGGCTCCTTTTCAATGATGTAGTATGTTTTGTCATCGTCGTTGGCTTGTTCCAGTTTGTCTGCCTCCTTGCCAAACAAAGATTTCCACACATTTACCTAGGAGAAAAGTAAGAAAGAATAAAAAGTTAAAATTCCTTCATCAATTACTCACCCCTGATGTCGTTCTAAAACCTAAACTTTCGTTCATCTTCGAAACACAAATTAAGAAACCGTGAATTTACATATAAATACATTTCTGTAAAGCAGCTTTGAAATGATATGTATTGTGAAAAGTGCTATACAAATAAATGAATGAATCAAAATGAACAAATCTTTTCCCGAGTCAATTTGTTCATTTCGTTCGTTGAATGAACCAAATGACACAAAAAAGATTCGTTCATTTTGATAAACGAGTTCGAACAGGAGAGTCACGAAACGCGCATCACAGAACAGAGCAAGGAGACAATTTGTGCTTATAAAACTTAAACTGAGTGGCTAGCCACAATGGCTGTTGGCTGATCAAAATTTTATGTGAATAAAAGCTTAAATTAAATCTGTCCATCGTATAAAGTCATTGTCTCTCTTTAGAAGACTTGGATTCATACGGATTTCTTTTACGATCATTTTAAAGTGACAGATTTGGGTGAATAGACTTTCACTGGATGGACAGAAATCTTGACAGTTTGTGTTTCAAAGATGAACGAAAGGGTGTGAGAGTGCGTAGCTACGGCCCTGTTTACACGAGAACGCGTGCTGGTGAAAACGTATAAATATTTTAGCGGATCCCAGATAGCAAACTGACGTTGAATCAACGTGGAAACATGACATCGAAACAACGTTGATCTGACATAGTTTTGCTCATCGAATTAACGTTGAACCAACATCAGACGCGTCATTCTTTCAAAACTAACGGAAAATCAACTTGAAATCAACGTGTTGTTTCAACGTTATGAAAGCAAACCAATTTTCGATTTTCATTTAGCTTTGAAGAATGCAGCGTCTGACGTTGGTTCAACGTTAATTCGATGAGCAAAATCAACGTTGTTTCAATGTCATGAGAGACGTCGTTTCCACGTTGATTCAATGTCAGTTTGCTGTCTGGGATGTGACTTTCGTTTACACGGCGACGGCATTTTGGGGGCTTAAAAAAGCAAAAGCACCCTCGAGAGTGGAAATCTTAAAAACATTCTACCGCCGCGTTCCCGTATAAAGGGTAAAAATGCATAAGTCTGCTTGACAGTGAAGGTTGTACGCAGGCGCGCGGACTTGGTGTTGTTGTGTGGCAGTGCTTCACATCGCCACCTAGCCGTATGGAGTGCATACTACAATTTTACACACTTTTGCGTCACCATATGCACGCGGATTTCCCACCAAAAACGCTCGTCTAAAAGCGCAGAATAAAAAGTGATAACGCAACGCCACTTTTGCGTTTTCTCTTCAGAATCGTTTCCGTGTAAACATAGCCTGAAAATAACAGCATTTTCAAAGCTTGGTAAACTACCCCTTTAACACTATAGATTTGAACTTAAACCAAAATGATCTGTAAACAAAATAAAAGTATTACCTTAATAAAGAGAAGTATGTTTAATACTTTGGTTTCTCTTTTCCCATTTTTCTCCCTCATCACAAGAACATCGAGAAGACTGGCTCCCACACCTTGACCCATGTCAGCCAGCCGGGCCTGGAGCTCAGACACCGAGTACACGCGGCTCTGGCAGTACTGCACCATCTCGGAGAACAGCAGCGCGAACGCACTCACGCTCACCTCCGTTTTAGGACGCGTGATCGAGCGCTCGAGGATCGCAGATTTGCCTCGCGTGAAGCGGACCTCCATTCCGTCCACACCGAATTCGAATTGCAATCTGAATCAAAGAATAAACGTGCCTGAGCCCTGGAATACAATGACAGTTTGTTTTTAAAAATCAACGCATTGTAACGTTAATTTGCAAATATATAAGAATGCATAGAAAATGTCAGAATGTCATTCATTGTTGCTCTGGTACAGAGAGTCTCACGTTAGTTGTTTGCCTCTGGTTATATTACGGGTTTTCCTAATTATATTATATGGGTGCTGAACGTACTACGCAGAACATAGCAAAGCCAGTAAATAAATTATATGAAATGATAAGCAGGTATAACAATTACGGCGTATTCCGTTGCTCAGTAGCGTTTACCTGATGTTTTGTTTCAGTTCCGGATGCGTGAAGCCACGATTAGTAAAGTTGTCATTGTGACCGGATATTTTCAATATAAAAGTAGGACGGGAAATAGTAATGAATTTGCGAAATATAACTCACTGTTTTGTAGTGGTTAAGTAGTTATAATTTTTTTAAATGCATTGTTTGTTTTTTTTATTTTAATTTGTAATTTGTAAATTTTTTTCTCGAAATTGTCATTCAATGGAATGGACTTTTACTTTGAAATCATCACTCTAAGGTCACTGGCTAGGATGGGAATGTGACATTCTCTGATGTGCTGATGTGCTGATGTAAACTTCAGGAATAGCAGATATCCTTCGATGTAAGTTTGCGATTCATTTGGAAAACAGTACTTTACAATAAAGATGTGTTTTATATACATGTATTTTCATTCTAATTGTATAACGTTAGTACATGTAAAAATATTCGTATTAAGTAAAATTATTTTTCTCTTCATTCGAAAACTTTTTTTTTCTGTATGCATGTCATGTTCAAATGAATAAAGTGGAAGATAGGTTACCTTTAAAACATTTTAAAAGTGTATTTTCCGCTATCACCAGCTTCTCCCTCTCATGTTAGGGGTTTTAAACTGCTCTACAAGGTTTGAGAATGATTTCTGCGTTCACGAGCCTCAGACACTTTGGCACAACCACGATGAGGAGAGCTGGTAAGAAACAGACTTTTTTACGGTAACACTTTATTTGTAAGGTGAAGTAGTTACAAGCTATTACAAGTACTTACTAACAGCAAATTATGCCTAATTACAAGTAACTAGCCCTAACCGTAAAGTATATAGTTAATTAATACCCTGTAGTATTTATTTAAGTTATTTCGACGTAAAATATAGGGTTACACTTTATTATTTTAAAGTGTCATTGTTACAGTGTAATTATATATCTAAGTACTGGGTAATATAAAACAACTACATGTACGTACTACAGGCTTAGGGTGAGATTAGGATTTGACACTGTAAAATAAAGGGTTACCGAATAAAGTGTAACATTTTTTATTACGATTGAAAAGTTATATTAGTTAACATTCATTATAGCTGCTTTAAAATGAACTTTTCAATACATGGAGCATGTGTTAAATTCATTGATTGCATTGACTGCATTGATTTTGACTCGTCTGTACTTTGACACACAGCGTCTGAGTTTAGAATGACTGTCCCATGGGGAGAGATGAGAGGTCAGGTTTGGGGTCCTCCTCATGGCCGTCCCGTGCTGTGTTTGCACGGTTGGGCTGACAACAGCGGATCCTTCAATACCCTGATTCCATTGCTTCCTAAAGGTATTAGTATTGGATTCATGGACATTATAAAGATCCACATTTATGAATTCATTCTTGCATACTCCATTTGCAAGCATCAATGAAGTGACCATGGTTCTCATTCTGTCCACATCTCTCCCAGACTGGAGATTCGTTGCCATTGATCTTCCAGGTCATGGCTTCTCGTCTCATAGGCCTGATGGATGCTTTTACACGTTCCCTTTGTATGTGGCAGATGTTCGGCGAGTTGTTGAAGGTTTGAAGCCACTTCAGGCCTTTGTTACAAACCGTTAATGTATCATCCTCAATAACGTAATTTGCCTTATTTTCCAGTTAAAATATAAAAAAAAATCTTTGTAAACAAAATAAATGTAATTGAGAAGCATAACTGGTTTTCAGAAAAGGTGTCCTGAATTGTGAGAGTGTATCATATTTTTTTCTCTCTTTTTACTCATTTGCAAGTTTAGCAATATTTACTGCTATTACAGAAAGACAAAATTCTAGATACAACCTATGAAAACAAGTCTTAATATCTTATGCATTGTTGCTTCTAAAGTAAATATATCTTATTTATTTTTACTGGAAAACAAGGCAAAATGTATTTGTATTTTTTCTCCATTTGTTCATAGCTCTTCAGTGGAAGCGATTCTCCATAATTGGACATAGTATGGGTGAGTCAACACTTTTACTCATCTACTGACAGGTCAAAGTTCCCTTTAGTGTGTGAAAGGTTGGAGGATCTATGTAAACTGTAAATTAGCTGAAGATGAGTGATATTATTGTGTTGCTGTTATATCTTCTATGATATAACTATATTGTCGTAGATCATGAGGGCATTAGAAAAGAAGGACACAGTGGGATGAATGCCACAACTACAGTACTTATTTATAGCATCCCTGCTGGTGCTCTAGTCTAAACGTCATCCTTATTCATGCCAGAGAATGATCCGTGTTGTTGAGTTCCTGCAATATTAGTTCCCAGAAAAAGAAAATCTTCTCCGGTTCAACACAACATGAGGGTTAATATAGAGTGAATATATATAATAATATATAATTTATATATATAATATATATATAATTATAAAAAAGCAGTAAAGCTCTTTCACCATTCACAACTTATAACTTATAAGTAACACATATTTATGATGTTCAAAATTTAAAATTAGTGTAAATGTATATATATTTTTATTATCTGGATTAAAGGGAAAGTTCACTTTGAAATTAATTTTTGGTATGTTTTAACTTGCCTCAAAGGCAGGTGTCTTTGTTTCCGCAGTAGTTTCAATTTTGATATTTTTAGGTCAAACCGTTCTTGTCTGTCAGTCATATAATGGAGGTCTATGGTCACCACCTCAAAGAGCATGCACAGAGAAGTCCAAATTAAACATGATTTAATGACTCGTAAATGTAAGTACACGTTGATGGCCTAAGACACGAAACGAGCCATTTGTGTAAGAAAACGAACAGTATTTATATCGTTTTATCTCTTGTAACCACAGCTCACAGCTATGTCCAAGTGATCTGAGGGCGAGGGTGCTTTTGTGGTTACAAGAGGTAAAAACGATATAAATACTGTTCATTTTCTCACACAAACCGCTCGTTTCTTGTCTTAGGCCATCAATGTGTACTTACATTTACGAGTCATTAAATCATGTTTAATTTGGACTTCTCTGTGCATGCTCTTTGAGGTGGTGACCATAGACCTCCATTATATGACTGACAGACAAGAACGGTTTGACCTAAAAATATAAAAATATATTTAAGTATTTGCCCCTTTACCCTAATTTGATATTTTATTAAATTGATTTTGTTTCTTTAACAGGTGGTAATGTGGCAGGAATAGTGAGTATCCATCATAGCACTTTTCTATTTATGTAAATGAGTTGTTTAGTAGAGTTGTTCTCAACTTGCTTCATGAGCCAGATTTTACATTTGACATTTTACATATGACTATGAGCTGTAATAATATTTTTAACATTATTAAAATTTGAAGTCACTGATGAACGGAGACATTTTTGTTTTTTTTGCAACCGTTGAGAACCGATGTGTTAGGACTGTCACTGTGCCGTGTAAATTTAACGAGTTTCCTCTGGTTTTCCAGTTTAGCGCGTTGTACCCAGAGATGGTTGAAGACGTAGTTCTCTTGGACACTTATGGGTTTCTCCCGACAGAAGTGGTAAGAATAAATGGAGCATGTCAGAGTCGACATAGAGAAGACTCCTTGTTCAACATACATGCATCCCACATAAATGTTCATTTGTCCTTCCCTAGAGTGACATGTTTAAAAACATGAGAAAAGGGATAAATGATCAAATCCATTATGACAGCAAGATGGATGAAAGGAAAGAGAAGGTGTACACGTACGAGAAAGCCAAAGAAAGGTGAAGATGCCTGATGTCATGTGATGTAAATGTTTGTAACTCAATTTTTGCCATTTTAAGTTTAGTTTTGTCATGTCCACCTCATATTGATATATATTAAAAAGTCTCGTACACTTACCAAGGCTGCACTTATTTGATCAAAAGTATAGTAAAAACAGTAATATTGTCTAATATTAGAACTGTTTTCTATTTGAATATATTTTAAAATGTCATTTTATTCTGGGATACAAAGCTGAATTTTCAGCATCTTCACTCAAATTTTCAGTGTCACAGTATTCTTTGATTAATTGAAATAGAATTTGAAATAGACATTGAAATCTTTTGTAACATACCAACATTTGAAATGTTTTTTACTGTCACTTTTGATCAATTTAATGCATCCTTTCTGAATAAAAGTATTTCCTTTTTTAAAAGTTGTTCTGGCCCTACCCAAATTGTAATGTATTATGTATATAAATATATTATAATATAATATATAAAAAAAAATATATATATATATGCACTAGTTTTTATTATTCTCTTTCAGGTTGAAGGTTGCAAACCCCTTCCTGTCGGATCAGTCTGCAGATATTCTGTTGGAGCGAGCAATCAAAGAGGTTGAGGGAGGTAAGACATGCAACACACACTCCTAAACTTTCTCATAGATTTTGCTCAGACAAAACAGTTTATTATATCTAAGCTCTCTTATAGGATTTATATTTACCAGAGACTTCAGGATCAACCTGGTGAGGCATTCGATATATTTATTTAGTCATTTACATTTCAGTTGTTTGTGTATTCCAAATAACAAGATTTCAGATTTTGTTCTACAGTTTAACTCACATTTATCCCAAACCTCTCGTTATCATATAGTTTATTACCTTTTCATCATGTTTTCTGCTTTACAGATGTCTTGTTAATATAGGAATGTGTGGAAGTTTACACTATACACATCATGATTAATGTGATCTAACTTTTTCTGGTGATTTTTTTTTTTTTTTTTTTAGAAAAATATTGTAAATTTTAACATGCAGCATGTCCTCTATTTGATGTCACTTATTAAAGCCAGAGTGATGCTACTGCTGTGAGTCCATTCAAACACACACACACACACACACACACACACACATATTCATGAGAAAGACCATTCGCATTAATGCACAATGCTCAAAATTAGGGACACACTATTGCTAATACATTTCTACGGAAGTGTATTGCATTGAAGAAAAAAAAATCTACTCTGTTATTCTGAATTAGAATTACGAGAATTTTTCATGGAAAAAAGTTTCTGCTCTGTTTTTTTTAATTAATGGCTTGATTATCTTAAAAATTAGGAGTAACTCATTAATTCAGCAAAAATAAAAAATAAAAAAAAAATATATCTCATAATTCTGAGATAATTAACTCGTTAATTCAGAAAAAACAGAGCAAAAACTTTTTTGTATGAAAAATTATTTAATAATTCTGAGATAATTAACTCAAGTGTTTCCTCAACTGAATGCAATAAGCTTCCGTACATTTCTGTCCAGTACTGATAGGATAATTTTTCATGTTATGGCCAGAAACCAATAATTTGCAGATGTTAATTGATTGAGTCATTTTAAAGGCTACAGGTCAAAAAAACTTTTTAGGCCTCACAACATTATAATGTACAGTATTTTGCTATTTGAAATATAGTGGCCCCAAAAAGTATCCGAACAGTTAAGTTACACTGAATGCCTGAATGTCACTGTACTAAATAATGAGATATTTAAACCAAGTGGTAGAGCTGCACGATTAATCACAAAAAAAAAATCGCAATCTCGATTCAAACACCCACACAATCTCACAAAAGACTGCGTTTGTTTCTTTCTTCAGGGCAAATGAGGGTCTGTTCAAAACGTTTCCTCTACCTAATGGATATAGTGATATGATTCTGAAGAGCTGGACTGATCAAAAAGTGAGATACATACACACAAAAATGAATGAAAATGTATGTCTGGAATAGCAGTGTGTACAAATAGATCTTTCTCGCTCCTCTACAGGCCACCGTTCTTCACGTAGAAGGAGACCATCACATTCACCTCAACAAACCCGAGTCTGTGGCCTCCATAATCACTGATTTTCTTCAGTCACACAGTCCTGACAAAGCAGAAAGTGAATTTGACAACAACCAAACATCGAAATTATAACACAGATTCAAGCAATGAAGTATGCACATCATTCAAAGTTTCACATCATTAACCAATCCTCATTTTGTCTTATACAATGATACTTTTTTAAAGCATAACAAACTTTAGATTTATTTTCTCATATTTAAAAAATGGTGTTTTATTAGAAAGCCTTCTGAACATTTGCAGTATTTTTGCACTCCGTTCATCCATGGGTCTTCCAGTTCTCGCCTCACCTTGCTTTTTGAGGTGCGGATTAACACTATTAATTTAGCAAAATACATTGCTTTGAATTTTGGTTTAATGTTTTGGCCTTGTCATAAAAGCCAGTGTTCTGTGGAGTTGGTTAAGTTAATGACTTTCTGTATTTTGTGGAAATGAAAATTAAAGATTAAAACTGCTGAGCTGGAAACAAAATGTAAAAACAGTTTAACTATGTGCCATTATTTTGACTTCATTATCATACGTCTAACACAATAAATTTGGCCGTGGATGTGCGGGACACATTAAAGCTCTACTATAGAAATAGTGTAGAAGTCTGCGGTGAGTGTTAAAGGGATAGTTCACCCAAAAAATAAAAATTCTGTCATCATTTACTCATGTTGCTCCAAACCCGAGTTTCCTCCTGTTGAACACAGAAGAAGATATTTTGAAGAGTGTTTTTTTTTTTTTTTTTTTTTTACAGACAGTTGATGGACCCAGTAGGGAAACATACTATGGAAGTCAATGGGGTCCATCAACTGTCTGGTAACAAACATCCTTCAAAATATCTTCTTTTGTGTTCAACAGGAGGGAACTCGGGTTTGGAACAACACGAGGGTGAGTAAACTAGGACAAAATTTTTAATTTGAGTAAACTATCCCTTTAAGTGAAGTGCAACTCGCTTTATATCCACTCAATCACTGTGCCACCAGTTGGTTGAATGTAATTGCACAAATATTGAAATTGGATCTGAAAAAAAAAAAAAAAAAAAAGTCCTGCAAATGTATTTGCAGATCCCACTTGGTTTGGCATTTTATCATCACTGAAAATTGTAAGTGCACATATACTTTCTTGGGTCATTGCTGTTGTGTGTTTGCATCAGTTGTAATTGTGAATGTGCAGATTTGTTGTCGATGTATTTCCTTCAGGCTTTGCTGAATGCTCCACATCTTGTGCTCATATATAGGTCAGCACTGCTCAGTTTTGCCTTACATTTGAGACTATCAATTGCATGATACTTTGAAAGCCAACAACTGTGTAATGGGCATTATTGTGATGAGATTATAGTTGTGTGTGCTTGTGTTTAAGAATCTGCTTTATGTTTATTCAGCCAAGCATTGCTTACTTCAAGCTATTTAGACTTATAGAGTAAGCCAAGTGTGTGTGTGTGCGTACAAGAAATATTACATTAGGAACATTATTCTTGGAAGTGTCATTCATGTTAATTATAGTTGACACACACACACACACACAAATTGTTTTACACTCAAATCTGTATGATTTTCTTTCTTTCAGACCAAAAAAAGCAGCATATATTCTGTAATAGTACATCATATCAACCGCTTTTATTACATTTTTTGTTATTTTTACAACTTCGGTTGTAATGGACCAGGTCACCATTCATTGTATGGAAAAAGAGCAGCCTGAACATTTTGTTGAATTTCTCCTTTTGTGTCCCATGGAGGAAAAGCCATACAGGTTTAAAACTGCACGAGAGTGAGTAATGCAGGACAAATGATGATGTGGGTTATTTTGAACCCTTTCAGGGATTTGAAAACATCTGTACAACACAACGTCCTCCCTAAAACCTCTGATTTCCTATTATATCTGCCATGTTCAAATTTGACCTGAAATTACCAAAACGGGAGATCGAAGATTGAAAAGAAAGGGTTACAAAAAAAAAAATTATGTAACTTCTGCTCTGACTCTTTCCTCGTCAGAGACGTCTCCATGGTTACACCCCCCCCCCCCCCCCCATCCAATCCCTAAAGGGATGGCAAAGCTTTGACAAGGAGAGGACGAAAGCAAGGGTGCGAGAAATATATTATAATATAATATTTGTCCATATGTAGCAGCATCAACCATCATTTGGCTTTGTCATTCGGCATTTTTACTAAGACGGTTCGATCCGCTCAGCTGGTTCCAGCTACAACCCCCAAGCTACAGTTCCAGTTCACAGTCGATCAAAGAAAGACTACAGGTATGTAGACACATGATACAAATGTGCTGATGTCTTATAGCATGCTGCACTTATTGGTTAATCTTCATTGTACTTCATACACGCGTACTGTAGAGTAAAGTGAATCTGCTGCACTGTTAATAATGAGGGACGATAGCGTCATATTTCCATGTGGATCATGCAGGTGTGTTCTCATTTTATCCATTTCTCTCGTACTTTTGAGACAACACGATGTCTTGGATGTTTCTGGACTGGTTCGTCCCCGTCTATCTGCTGTTCTCAGTCCTGGTCCTGGCTGGTTTTGGAGCGTGTCTGTATTTTCTGGAGCCGGGTCTTCAGGATGCCCACAAGTGGAGCAGCAAGTCACTGAGGCACCAGCCGCTGGCTCAAACACACAGCAGAGATGACGACAGCAATGCGTTGTTATGATGGGACATGTGTGGACGTTTGTGCCAAATCATGCATTGATGCCACTTTATCAGAATCCATTGTGTTTTCTTTAGTCATATGCAATCAGATTACAGAGCAAAACTGCAGAAGTCTGTAAATCCATTATTTACAATGATTATTATTTGCACTAATGGTAATTCAACTTGGGTCAGTGGGAAACTGAACTCGGTGTCGTGTTTTCAGGTGATAAATTAAACCAGCTGAATAGTAAAGTTCAGCCCAATGTAAAAAATACACATTGCTATTCTAGCATTATTTTTGGTGAAGTTGCTGTGCATCGCACAGCTGACATGTTTACTTGTGTCAGCATATCCACAAAATAGACACGGATGCAAAATGCTAAGTCAGAGAATCCCAAAATGATGATTTCAGCTCTGCAAAACAATTTGATCAAATCCAGTGATTGTTCCCACACATACCTTCCGCACAAGTCAACGTTAGAATGAATTGTAGTGACATTTCGCCAAACTGGAGGAACAACCTTGACATTAGTGTGAAGGGTGGTATTGTGTGAAAAGACATTACATACAATTATCAAACAAGATGGAGTGTTTCCAGGTCATGACTGTCATGTTTCGGGTGCTAAAATTGTCATTGGGCACCAAAATGATGGAAATATGCAGCCTGTTCTCATCCCAAGGCATCATATACTGACACTTTTGACTTTCGTCTACATCCAACGCACATGGCACCCTTTAGCGTGAGAAGCAGATATATAGGGGGCAGAAGGCGCCCTCTAGTGGTCTAACCCTAAACTTACCCCAGACCTAAACCTACACATAACCGAAGTGTGTATATTGACTTTAAAGGGTCCCATGTGCGTCGATTTAGACAAAATTTTAAAAGTGTCACTATATGACACCCTAGGATGAGAACGCGTTGAAATATGCATGCATGCCAGGCCAGTAGTTGGCGATGTCAAGGAACGTGTTATCCCTCAAGTGGCAAGAAGTCAAGTGGACCTCCAGGTTGAAAAAGCGTCAATGCAAGTGAATGAGAGAAAATACTTATTTTCTGATCCCGTTATGTTGTCCGTGAATTTTTTATATAATTTCTCATGTAACGAGTTTGACAGTATATTGTATGAGATTCTTTGGCAAGCAGTTGTGGAATAGACATAACGAGAAAGACTACACGTCGCATATGTGACGTCGCCGCATAACACATTTCCCTCCACGTGCGATAATCTAAGGAAATTAGATCGAGATGCCTGTGTTTTGTGTCCAAATGTCACCATTCAAAAAATGGTTTGTTTAGCGGTATCCGTGTGCTAGTGGTGGTGACGTATATCAAATGCGTCGAAAGCAGGAAGAGTTGTAGTCAACAATGCTCTCTCACACAAAGTCTAACCGTATGAAAATTCTACCCGCTAAATTGTAGCATTCTTTACACGAAAATTTATATAAAAAATTCATTGGCAACATATGTTCACATTCATTGCAAAATTCAAATGGGATTAGAAAATAATTATTTTCTCTCATTCACTTGCATTGATGATTTTTCAACCTAGAGGTCCAGCGGGGTTAGCGGAAGGGGCGGGACTTATGAACATAAATTACTCGGCATGATGTCAACGCTTTCATAAATTTGTGTTTTTGTTGTTTACACAGAGACGATAACGGTATTGTTTTTAAATACTTTTTCAAATAAGTTTTCAGGCCTTCAAAACGCTGTTGTCGTGTGAATGAACAGCCAAAACACATCGAAGTTTTGTTAAGTTTTTATTTGAAACGATGTCTTGTAAACGGCCCAATACGAAAAAAAAAGAACACTGTTGTTAAGTGCTTATTTGTGTGCTACTGTTCTTATCCGAGGTCTGTATATTTTCATGTGCGAATACTTTTGTGTCTCTTAACTTTACCGTCTAGATTTGCACTGATTTTCATTTACAGAATGCAACGTTTCTTGGAATAAAACTGTTGGTTAATAATTTTTTGGACAATCATATATAATAATGTCATTGATAATAAAGTGGACAATTGTAGAATGTTTTTCCCCCTTCTTGGAAATAAACAAACTTGATTTTTTGAGTTTCACAAAATCTGCCATTTAGCGAGTATGATGTGAAGAGAGTGGGTGAATGAGACAGTGGAGCTTCAGATGAGAAGAATGGAGGGAATGTAAGTCTAGGACCCACCATTTCCTGACACACTCTTCCCCCTTCATTCTCTCGCTTCTCTCGTCCAGTAAACAGACCTCAGGATCACAGGTCAGTAACATTACATATCATGTTTAGAATTAGATGTACACTTTTTCTGTATATTCAATGGAAAAGACTTTTGTCATGGTTCTTTTGAACAACGTACTACATATTTTGTGTTAGCCTACTCAAACTTTTTCATGAAATCTCATAGGCTGTCTTACTGCAATGAACCCATGTGAGCAAGACCCGACTGGAAACACGTTAGGATTTTCCTTCAACACATCCTCTCTGTCCTCAGCAAGACTCTCTCCAAGTCTTGAGCCTGTTTATCCTTCCCCTTCCAGTCTCTCACCATGTCCAGTTACCTCAAACTCTTCTCCCTCCCGTCTCTCACCTTTATCCACTCCTCCTTCTCGCCTCAGTCCATCGTCTCACTTTATTTCATCCTACTCTCCTGTTCGTCTGTCTCCTTGTCCCACATGTGATCCATCTACATCACCCACTAGAGTGTCCCCCTGTCCTGTGCCTCTTTCCCCCTCTGTCGTCTTAATAAAGCCCATCCACATTTCCTCCTTCAGTCAGACCGGCCAAAGCGTGAAACAAGAGAACCAGATTGACAGTTCTCCAACCAGGTATGTTAATCTCAATACAAATGTTTTTTGATGCTAAGGAGCACCAAATTTGTGTGAACAAGACTGTGCAGCTTCTTTACATAAGTATTAACCTTCTTATGGAAGACTATTTGTGATGAGCTTTGATTGATCATATGTGATTGTTGATTTTCAGTCTGTTCCAATGGTACAAAACATATGTCAATATTTAAATAGGTTGGTAAATTAATATTATATCAGATAATGAAATATGGTTTATTACTGTAAATTTTAAGTTTAGTGTGTAAACCAATAACCTTGCTACAGTTGATGCTAAAGTTCTGGCAAAATTACGTAAAAATTACGGTTTACTTTTTTACAGTGTAGGTGTTTTTTACAGTGTTGCCACCAAATGGCGAAAACGAAGTGTGAGGGGACCTTAATTTCCAAACATTACATATTTGCTAATGTCTTTAATTTTACAATATTTTACCCTGTTGAAAAGTTGGATAAAAGGTTACTTCATTTTGTTGATCAAACCTAATAATACTCATCCATCCTTCCATTGTTCTTTGTTCTAAAGCATCATCAATAAAGTGGATACATCTCTGAATTCATCACAATTGAAGACAGTCAAGACCATTTCTCAAATAGAGACTACAATTAAAGATCCATTACATTCTGCCGATATACATGGCAAAATATCTCGATTTTCACCCATTTCATCCACTGAGAGAAGCGTCAAATCAATCCCCATAACCAACACGAGGGGTCAAAAAAAGCAAACTGGCCTACAACAAGATTCACTCAGACCTCAACGGCAAGATAAACTAAAACAAACTTCGAACGTCTGTTTCAGGGAAGTTGCCAAGCCTCCAACGTTTGTGAGCATAAGCCCTAAAAACCTCAGACATGTTGAAAAAGGGGAAAGCAGACCACAAAATTTAGCAGGCTCTCAAAAGAAGAGGCAATCCCAGGACCCTACTTTAGTTCGAATCCGGCTTGGATTGATTAAAACGGGGAGGATTATAAACTCTACTGCCCACGTGTCTAATCTGGAGAAGATCAAGGGAAGCAGTGAAGAGAACAACCCAAAAATTCAGAGCGATGGACATCCTGCTGTTTCAGAAAAGTTACAACAGCCCGTTCGTTCAAAGATAATTTGTGGGGCAGCCACACAGATAAAAAGACCTACCATGATGCGTCAGAAACCTCAAAACCACCCACAACTCTACAAAAAATCAACAAAACCAGCCTCATCACCTAAAGATACATCAAGCCTGAAAAATGGAAGTTCTCCAAAGCAATACAGTGAACTGGTTTCATCAAGCCGAGCTTCAGAGGACTGCAACACCACCAACGATGGATCTAATGAAAGTAATATGGTGATTAGCTACTCTCAACACCATCAAACCAATGCCAATGAGTCCAACCAAGAGTCTAAACCAAATATCAGGCCTCAGTCCGCAGCTTCCGAGACTTCCGTCATCACATCCCATAACAATAATGCATCAGATCAGTGCGGCCGAATGAGCGGCTTCCAGTTCCCTTTGAAGAGTCCCAGATCATTCACCGAATGCGGTCAGCTGAGCAGAATCTGTAGACCTATGATCAAAAGAACACCTGACAGTAGACCGACATACTTCAAAACTCCTCAGGCATGGAGTAGACCTTCCTCAAACCAAACAGCGAACACAGGGAGGGATGTCAGAAATGCATCCCAAAATAGACACAACCTTTCAGATTCAGAATCTTCCAAGTCCTCTTCAAGCGAAGCGTCCGTGCATGAAGATTACAGATTCGGAAGAAAATACAGGGGTGTATGTTTATACGAAAAGCGTGATACTAAGAAACGTGATTGCATGGCGCAGTGTCCGTTCACTCTAGATCAACGACAAGAGCCCAAACACACACTTCATACTACAGATTGTGACAGATTTAGAGAAGTAAACCACCCGTGGTTAAGAGAGCAAGAAGACCCCCCACCCGTACAGCCATCTGTAGTCGCAGACATGAGGAGTGGAGCTGATGTACAGTCCTGTCCTGAAGAATGCGTGTCTACAGGTAAGTGCAAAGACAAATTGCTGGAATTACATTAGGATTGAATACATTAGAAGCCTCACGTAAATTTAGTAGATAAACAATCTAAGCATGTAGAATATCATGTGTCAGATAGGAAGACTTAAACTAGTCATTAGTGGCACATGTTTGGGCGAGAGTCACAGTTAGTACTTCTCATAGGGATTTGAAACTCCATAAGCCGAAATATTTTACTTAGGTGCACAATACATATTGATACCTCAAATTATGTGGCTCAGGAAAACAACCAACCACCCAGAACACTGTAGCAACTGCATCAAAAAATCACGTAGTAGAACACCTTATTGCATAGAAAGTTTTAAAACTCACTCATAACACTGAACAGCACTGACCTAACCAGCGTGTGTGTTACTAGGGTGGAAAATGGACACTCGCCAGGCACCAAATGCGAGTAAAACCTGTGTTGCAGAGTTTATGAAACGGTGTCAATCACCAGTTGGCTGGTAGCAGTTTTATGAAACAAATTGTGAGAACATGAACAAACATTATAGAGCCAGATTAAACATTATTATCGGCCGATATTAGGCATTTTCCAAACTATCGGTATCGGCAGTTATAATGGCCGATAAATTAATATTTAAAAAATAAAATAAAAACGGACGAAACATGCTTCAACCATGTCATGAGTGTTGGAGTTGTATAGTTTGTCCACCAGAGGGCACTCTACACCGTCCCTGTTGGCAACACTCGTGTATAACGCGCCACACATCCTGCAACCTGCTGGTAGCAGGTTGCTTATAAGGCAATGTAGGGACTAATTATTATTTTATTTATCAGAACTTTAATATATTTTGATGTTCCTCTGTTCTTTTGTGACTATAAAAGAAACAAGTTTCTTTTTAAAATGTATTATCATATTATTTTAGTTAAAAATATCAGATTTTAAAACCAACAAATATTTGGTTAAGTATCGTATCGGCCTTCAAAATCCTTTATCGTTCGGGCTCTAAAACGTTATGCTCGGGACAGTTGACGGGGCAGTGTTGAATCGTCACGAAAGTTTAAGACTTGTCAATTTAAAAATTCGGTAACACTCCTGTTTTCGGTCGAAGCCCACAGTAGTTGATTGTCGATCTCACACGTGCGTGATCATTAGTGAATATCATCTCAAACCTCCTCCGTGTGTTCAACATTTGATTCGGATGAACAATTCATTTGAGCTGATATTCTCAGAACACCACACAGTGTTAGGTTTAAGATGATATTCACTAATGATCTCGCGCGTAAACTCGACAATCGACTACTATGGACTTTGACCGAAAACAGGAAGTAAACACAGGTATGTGAGCTGACTGAAATAACATCATTTTTATTCATATCTTTCACATCTACTGCAGTCAGATTGACCGTGGTCACTCTTAATAACACCACGCACATGGCTGTGCACTCGTAATGACAAATCAAAGATGTTAAGAGGCTAAAAGAACATACCCCATTGAAGTCAACAGGGTGCGAATTTTAAAAAGAGGATAACACAGTGTAGGCAACACCGATTTTTGATGTTTTTGTCTGTTCTGACAGCACTCCAAATGTACAAAAAATGAGCTCAATGTTAAAATTGACTGGAGTTCTCCTTTAAGTAGCCATTGAAAATCTCTTTGGGATCATGTGATTAGATTGTGATGTCACTGTGCAAAGGGTACATGCTCAAGACTCAGTATCTATATGAACCCTTTAAACCCAAATATTCATGAGTTGGCTATGCAGAGTGTTTACAATATAGATGGGAAAGGACAAACTGTAAATGGCAGCATGCGAAATAGGGAGCCCGCCTTATCATCAAGCACAGCCCTGTCTAAACACATTGAGATAACCCTGTTATGAGGTGAAACCACATTGACGCAGCACTTCAGTGGCCACTGTATACGCCACAAACTCTCCACATGTGAACAGAGCTCATGGGACAAGCAGGCACCGGAATACAAAGGCGTAAAATGTGAGTAGGCCTATAGTTTTGATGACATAAGAAGTGCAAATCAAAATTAAAATTTTGTTTTGTACCATGTGGTATAATGTGAGTTTAGGTTAATATGAAAGATTGTATTTGCATAAATTGATGTATTTCAGAATATTGAATGAGTAATATAGAATGGAGAAGATAGTTGGAAAATAAGAGGACTTGACGTCGACAGAATGGGATAGTTATTGTTAGACTATTTGTTTATGAACTATTTTGCTCCATAAACTCCTATTTTGGAGCCATAAAAAAAAAAAGTTTTACTTAAAGAGTTCCGTTGTAGGCTAATCTACATTCTGTCGCATTGTTTTATCTTGTACGCTGACTTCACGCAGCTGCCATTTTGAAATCGAAAGCGAGGCAACATTGTCTTGGACTACCAATCTGAATCTGCTGCCGCAATATAAACTATTAGATGTCAGGCTAAATCCAATATGGGATATGTATATATTTCGTCCCTGCTTCTTTTTTACGTTCTGAATAGAATATATATATATATATATATATATATATATATATATATAAAAAATGTATTTATAATTGTATAAATTTCACTGTATATAGTCTAAAATATGAAAGAAATGTATGTGCATTTTTAGAATAACAAATTTGTACATTAAACACAAAAAAACGCCATCGCATTCGCGACTCTTCTATGATTAAAGGCAACACTTCCGGTTTTCTTCCCACCGGAGCGATTTCAAAATGACGAAATCAGCGTATTAATCATATTATCACAATAGCCTTATTTTCTGCTTGATACATCAGGCTTAGTAAAGTGGCCTATATAAATCTGTACAAAACAAGCTAAAACAAACACAGACAAACGGCTATGAGTTAAATATCAGAGTGCCGCTCAAATATCATATCATCCAACGACCCGAATCCCTAATTCAGGTCGACCCGCGCACTGAGCATGCGCGCTGCATCCCCCAGTCTCCCGTTAGTTTCCTTGGTAACGAAAAAAAAAAAGGGTGGAGGAAGGAATGAGGTGCATCGAGCTGCGAATAGAAAGGCGAGAGACCGAGTGAAAGAAAGAGGAAGAGAGGTGAACCTGAACACATGATCATTCCCTAACTGCTGCCTTAGTCTACTTATAGCCTACTTTCATAGACTGTAAAACAGCGGAGAAAGGCAGATAAGGACGCGAATAAAACACATCCTGCGATCGCTACAAAAACAAGGATTGGTAAGTGGGAAGAGTGTTTCCCTTTAATTAGGCTACTCGTTATCACTCGAATCCGTTTGAGGTAAATACACGAACAATTCGGGAGATTGTGTGTGTGCATGAACCCATGAACATACTCACATACTAATGTATAAACTGCTAGTGACGTTTAAAATGCGAGTAATATTAATATCATTCTCCATGAAAGACGCACATCATGCAGAGTCGCTTGAAGGAAATGTCTCTTGTTGTGTTCAAATAGTGCGTGGGAAAGGTTGAGCCGTGGGTGATTCATCCGATAAAGAAATTTGTTGAGTGCTTCTGTAATAATTCATTTGTTGCTTATTATTGTGGCATATGGTGTTATATAGACTGGGAAATAAATAGCACACACAGGTGTTTGTCTTTCTGAGTCCAATTATTTACTGTCCAATCTTTGTTCTTATCACCAATTAATCCTGTTGTTTCTTATTAACTAGGCTACATATTGTCCATGCAAAACAGTGTAGGGGAGAGTAGGTTAAACTGTGCCACTTTTTACTTAAATTGTCCGTTTGGCCAGGGAATAAGAAATGGGACTTCAACCTATATTTCAAGATTTCTGCTGTTCAAAGTAGCATAACATACAGCTTCTAAATATTATTATATTGTATTAATATAGATATTAATGTGAACAACACTATAGGTATTATTTTTTAGAATATTTGAATGTAGTTATACCACTTACATTTCAAATAATATCATCATAACAACAAAATTGTTTTAAGCTGTATTTTGCTGCATATTTTTTTACATTTAAAAATGTAGTAATCTGAATATTTTATATACGCTTAAATTCAAATGCAATTATTTGAATTAATTTTAATAAATAATTACAATTATAATATTAATATAAACACAACTATTTTAGTTTATGTTTTGCATTTAAAAGTGTACAATTCACGATATTTGAAGGTAGTAATACTGTAAAAAAACATTTTCATGATTTGTAATCACATTTTTTCTTTTGTCAAATCAACTTAAATAATTACGTAGTTAATTACCAGATTACATAATATTTTGAGTTTCTGATGATTAAATCAATCTCCTTCATTGTATTAACTCAATTAACTTAACTTCATTTCAATGAACTTAAAATTTTAAGGCAACCAGGTTAGTTCCTTTTTTAAGTTAAACCAACAATATTTTTTTACAGTTTAGGATTTGTAATAGTACATTTTGGATGTAAAGCTTAATGTCTCCTTTACATCCTAATAATTTGATTAATCTTTAGCCAAATAATTTGCATTGTTGTATAAATTGGAAATTCAATGTTTTTTTTTTCCTGTGGATTCATGATTTGACACAAAATTTATTGTACTTGCTATGTAAGTACTTTGAATCAATTTTCTCATGTGCAGCACCTTAAATATGATCACATGACAAAACTATGCACAGTTTGCTAGGGTTAAGGGCGGCATGGTGTCGTGTCGGATTTATAGTGTAATAACACCTAGCCTGATTAAATGGATTGAATGTTGATTCTTTCCCACAGACATGTCAGAAACTGTGCCCCCTGAAGTGAGACCTAAACCTGTCGTCCCAGCCAAGCCCTCTCATGTGGCACCACCTTCTGGCACTCCCTTTTTGCCTTCACCCCAAGGAACAGGGGGTGAAGGTCAAGGGTCAGGTCGAGGATCTGCATTGCTTGGATACATCGGTATAGACACCATCATCGAGCAGATGCGGAAGAAAACCATGAAGACAGGCTTTGACTTCAACATTATGGTGGTTGGTGGGTGGGAGAGTGATTAAGTTTCTGTTTTTATCCAGTAGTTCTTCCCGAGTGACTGTTTCTTACCATTCCTCCTCGCTTTCTCTCTCCAGGTCAGAGTGGTCTTGGGAAGTCCACTTTAGTGAATACTCTCTTTAAGTCACAGGTGAGCAGGAGGAGCGCAAGCTGGAGTCGTGATGACAAGATTCCAAAGACTGTTGAGATTAAATCTGTCTCGCATGGTAAGAGAATATTGATCATGACTTCTAAACATGTAACAGTGTCTCAGTCAGTAGCAAGGACTTTAGATATACAAAGACAATGCACTCATATTGCCATTGCTAAATAAAAGAGCCAATCGCCAATTGGTAAAATCATTGTGCCACTGCAGCTGCCTTTAGAAGCTCAGTTTGCTCTGTGTTCTGAGACGTGCGCTTATATACCGCATGCGCAATGGTTGGTCCAGCCTGAAAAATGTTGTCATGATTTGAGCATCTAGAAACAAAATGTATGAGATGGTTGTTGTCAGATTTCATTGGTGATTTCAAAGAGGAAATTTAATCATATGCTTGGTGAACAGCTATGGAGAATTTGATGTTTCCCCATTCAGTGTTTGCATGACTGAAATAGCTGTACGATAGGCGTATCAAAGATGGCCGCCGACTTAAATGACTTGCCTTGAGGGGCCTTTGGCTTTTAGCTGCTGTTTGCTATAAAACAGACCATTTACCGGACAGAAATAGACATCATGGGCTAATTAAGAAAGACTCAATTAGTGTCTGCTCATTTTAATCAATACACCAGGAACTGGAGCACAGTGGTGACATTTAGTGTGTACGGTGCTTGTGAGTAAGATGTGTGTATGTGCCCAGGGTAAGTCAGGAGGTCAGATAGGTGAACAGCTGGCAAACTAAATGATACCATATGCACCCAAATGCTGTTTAGAAAAAGGCACTTATATGTAATCATGTTTTAACCTTGTGTAGACCGATGTGTGATATTGTTCTGTAGATTGTGTTAAATGGAAGTCATTAGAAATCAGGTGCAAATATTTTAAATCACAATTACATTGAGTCTGGATAAACATGTCTGAGTTAAAAGTATAGTTCACCCGAAAATGACACCTGTGTTATTTACTCGCCTTCATGTTGGTCCACACCTGTATGACTTTCTACTGTGGAACACAATAGGAGACATTTTTAAAGGGATAGTTCATCCAAAAATTCTGTCAAAATGTACATATTCAAAATCCATAAAACTGAAACACAAAGTAAGCTACTTTTAATGAAACACGAGAGGTTTCTGTCTCTACATTGAAATTCAAGGTAACTAAAGCTTCTAGAAGCTCATAAATGAATTGTAAAAACAAGTGGTTTAATCCAAGTCTTGTGAAGAGACGCAACATATTCGCTAAACCCCGCCCCCCCTAGTTCCTGTTGCTACGCCTGTCAAGCTTTCGCGGCTGGCACATCTATTATAGTGTGTATGCACCGGTGTCAGACATTCCCAAATCCCAATCAGATAATTTATCATTTTTGGCGAACGTGTGACTGCAGTATTCCATTCGAGGGATATATCCATGACATAATATGCAACCGATTAGAGAATAATTTCTTAAAAATTGAAGCTAAAGCCAAAGCCTATAAGTTAGTCCCAGCGCAAACACACAAATTGAGGAACAGCTATGTTCATGCACAGCAGGGTATGTGAAATGTGAAAATAATCAAAATAATAATAAATCAAACAGCTTATACATAAATCTTGTGGAATAACACTAACACCGGGAGAGCTGCGAACCGAGTTTTTGAAATCAAAATCGACCATACTTACTTTGTTTGCCTAAATTGATCGTTTTGTGGTGAACAATTCATACATGCAAGTCAATCCACACAAAAAATTTTTTTGGCTTCGTAAACTTTAATCAAATTTTGAAAATGCCCCTCCCCTCTGCATTGGAGGACCTTGCCCGATGACGTAAGCTTTACGGTTTGGGTGTCTGCTTAACATCCATAACCACGCCCCTCCAACTGACAGCTGCTGTCCCAGACAGCAAACTGACATTGAATCAACGTGGAAACGACGTCTCTCATGACATTGAAACAGCGTTGATTTTGCTCATCGAATTAACGTTGAACCAACGTCAGACGCGGCATTCTTCAAAGCTAAATGAAAATCGAAAATTGGTTTGCTTTCATAACGTTGAAACAACGCGTTGATTTGAAGTTGATTTTCCGTTAGTTTTGAAAGAATGACGCATCTGACGTTGGTTCAACGTTAATTCGATGAGCAAAACAATGTCAGATCAACGTTGTTTCTATGTCATATTTCCACGTTGATTCAATGTCAGTTTGCTATCTGGGGCGTGTTTGCGAGCGCCGAGAGAGCATTGATTGACAGCGTGTGTAAACTTGCGTCATCCTCCATTTCAGAATGAAACACCCATTTTTCTAGATCCAATCAGGTGCTAGTTGGAAAAAAAGGCACGCCCACTATTTTGCCTCATTTAGTATTCCGTTTCTCTCGGAAATACCTCACAACACTGGAGAAAAGTCGTTTGCAACTTCCGGTTCACAGGGACTTTAAAGTTACTTAGTCAGGGTAGTAGGCCGTCGATTAACAAAATGCTGAAATATATTTTAAAGTATGTCAGTGAGCCTCTGTCTTGTCTTTAATCATCTTATTTCACGTTAAAATATATGCAATATGGACAAAGAACCGTCAATATTTCCAAGTAATAGGCGTTTTTGTTAATCCTGTCGACATTTAGTAGTGAATGGGTCTCCCACACTCAAGCCCATCATTTCTCCCCACGGCTTTTAGATTTTCAGGAAGGAAAAAAATCCACTTCACCATCCAAACTTTTAGGATACCGGCCGGGTATCAGATTTGCACAATGCTTTGGCATGTTTCTCTCGCTCGAAAGCTTGCCAGACCTCCCGCTCCTAGTTACGGTTGCTAAGACACGATTGGTCAGTGACGGTTTTCTGACGTGGCTTAGCAAAGGCTCAATTGAGGCTTTTATTTACATCTAATCAATGATAAACACATAGATAGTGCACAAATGCATGTCTGTCGTTTATTGCGTTTTTTTGTTGTATAGTTTTACTTTCAGTAACGATGATATGAGCTGTGTGTCCTCTGAAGGTTCTAGATCCAGTCACTGTTCTCCACCGGAGCCGCTCACGTCAGTTTTGTGTTGTGCGTGCGACCCAAATACTGCTCTCCACTCAGATGTAAAAGCTGCTATCAGTTAATGAAGATTTAATGTATGAACTCGTGGCTCGATTGGACTCTTGTCGTATCAAGTGAGATGACCTTTCAGTTTTATGGACGTCGCCCTCTTTGATATTTTGGTCACTGTCGCTTTGGTTACTGGTAAGAAAATACGCGCTTGACTAATGTTGCACTAATGTTGCACGTGTGAACCGGACATTTCGAGACTCACACCTTTAAGTAAATGAGGTTGTCAACCCCAAAAACTGACCGTGTAAACATAGCCAAGTTTTGGTTACCAGTACTTTCAATAGAGGGAGAGAAACCCCTCAAAGAAACCTCCCAAATCCTCTCAGATATTTGTGTTTCGAAGATTAACCAAAGTCTTATAGGATTGGAACGACATGAGGGTGAGTAAATGATGACAGAATTTTCATATTTGGGTCAACTATCCTTTCTTTTTTTCTTTTTTTTTGTCCATATAATGCAAAACATTGGAACTTTCATTGTATGGACAAAATAATGGAGGTTATCTTGTGACATTGAACCACTGTATCCCGTCCGATCCCATATTATAGGCTACTCTGGTATTTAAACAGAAACAATCACTGTAATCTTACATTCTGCATTTGTAGCTCTGATAAATGTTGATTTTGCAGTGATTGAGGAAGGAGGGGTGAAGATGAAGTTAACAGTCGTTGATACACCAGGCTTTGGGGACCAAATCAACAATGATAATTGGTGAGTATTGTGTGATTTCTGTTAAAGCGATACTTCAGGATTTAGCATTAAGCTTTGTATTAGTAGAAAACCTGTAGTATTTTCAAATTTCCATGCAAATATCCCCCTGAGACAAGAGATATATGTATTTTTTGTCTGGAAAAAATCCTCCGATGACGCAAAAATCGTCATTGTGCGTCATCGGAGGATTTTTTGGCCAGAGGCTAAAGACAACGTAAACATAAACGAATGGCGACTGTAGAACGCAAAAGCCGAATCCCGGACATTTTGAGCGATCTTGAAACACATTTTCGGGGAGACTCACTAGTAGCCTAGACTTGTTGTTTAACTACTGCGCTCTGTTACCGGTAGGCGTGGCCTTATAGGGCAGCGGAGCAAGTGCATTCTGGGAGTTGTTGTCTTCTACATAAGCCAAAAATAAATTTTCCGGCTTTACTCAGGTTAGAAAGCTCCAAATTCAAAAATATAAGTGACCCATTTTAAATAAACATTCATCTTTCCAGAGGTGAAGTATCCCTTTAAATCCAGAGGACTCATAGCTATTTATAATCAATTGAGTTTTTGCAAATGATCCAAAATGCCATCACTGCATCAGAGAAACTGAGGACATGCATTTGTGTCAGCCACTAGTAACTGGCATCCAAAACATGTTCAAAGTGTGAGGGTCAGTGTTTCGACTTCCAGATTTGCACTTAATTTCCTGAGACAAGATGTTGATTGTTGGTAGAGATGCCAAATGTGAGTGTGGTTTGGCAGCTCGCCCCCAGCAATCACAGATCCAAGGGTCTCAGTAAAGCAACACAGTACTTTTCTGTCATTTAAATGCCTCAGACAAAACGCTGTTGCGTTGGGGGTTGAATCTTCTGTTGGTGACTGTCATGACAATGAAAAACATTTCATTCATGATTAAACGAAGCATACCCAAAACTTTAACACTGTTGTTTTTTTACTGCCTTTCACAAAGAAAGTCTGTTTTTCTTCATGTGCTTCCATTTCCTTTTCATGTACTCTAACACAACTCTCCACATCCCACACTGTTGATTTGTTCCTCTTTGTTCTTAGCTGGGAGCCCATATCCAAATACATCAATGAACAATATGAGAAGTTTTTAAAGGAAGAAGTCAACATTGCTCGCAAGAAACGCATCCCTGACACCCGAGTGCACTGCTGCTTGTACTTCATATCCCCAACTGGACACTCGTGAGTTTACACATTTTACTTTAGCTCACATATGTAAAACAGCTCACATAGTGTGTACACTTATGCATACGCATACTTTTTAAAAAGATACCTTATTACAGAAATAATACTTAAGTTCAAACTCAATGTAATGTTTTTAGACACTTAATTGCATGTTATTTGCAATTAAATGAAAGTACATTATAGTTTACATTCATATCAAATGCAATTAGTTGAATTTAAGAGTACATCTTTAATTTCATAATTAGTTCTATTGCTTTTATATATGGTTAAAGCGAATTGCCGAATGTACTGATAAGCATAAATGATAAACAAAAAAAATAAAATAATGTAATGTCATTTCTATTGAAACTTGTATGTCATGTATATATTTTAATTACACCTTTGTAATGAAGGCCTGGTGTCACAGACAGGGCTTAGATTAAGCCAGGATTAGGCTTTATTTCAAATAGAACATTTAAGTAGCTTTTATAAACATACCTTAGAAAAAACTGCACTTTGAGACAAAACAATATTACATATTACTAGGGCTGATTAATCGCATCCAAAATAAAAGTTTGTGTTTACATGTAAACACAAACTTTTATTTTGGATTGCACTGGAATGTCTCTGAACATGACATATCTTAAAATATATAGGACTGTCAAACGATTAATCGCGATTAATCACATCCAAAATAAAAGTTTGTGTTTACATGTAAACACAAACTTTTATTTTGGATTGCACTCTAATGTCTTAAAACATGACTTATCTTAAAATATATAGGGCTGTCAAACGATTAATCGCATCCAAAATAAAAGTTTTAATTTTGGAAACTTTTATTTTGGATGCGATTAATCGTTTTACAGCCCTACATATTTTAAGATATGTCATGTTTTAAGACATTCCAGTGCAAGTTGCTTTCAGTTAAAACAATTAAAACTTGCATTTTAGTCAGGGACCAGGCTTAAGTTTTGTCTGTGAAACCGGGGATTAACATATTAACTTTAAATGCAATATTGAATAACAAGCTACAATTCAAATTATAATCAAGTACATTGTGCTTTATAGTATGTCAGCCAACATATCAAAGTTTGCTTTAAAGCATGAAAAGCATTTAAAATGTCATTTAAATCTTTTATTTTGACATTATTGACAGTGTGATTTTTAAAAGTGTACATAAGTGTTAAGAAATATAGCCATGAAAGTGTGCTCTCTATAAATATACTTAAAAGGCCTTTATTTAATTCATATCATATTATCTGCAAATTCAGTTTTTACAAATTTGAAGTACTTTACAAGTGCGCATTCAATACAATTAAGTGCACGTCTTTCTCATAAGAGCATCTAATCACATACTGAATCAGCTCACGTATTTCTTATATAGTTCAAACTGTAATTGACTAAACTGGTCTGCAATAATACATCTGGATTTCTGTGTGCTTCTTCAGAGTAGTCACATCTCTCAGAATTCTTTCTATTATTTGTCAGTAATTGAAAAAATGCTTCCCGTTGCAGGTTTGGTAATTAAAACAAGCCGCTGTGTTGATTTAAGACCACATTCAGCCAGTAAGCTTCTGAATGCTTAACAATAGTCAAACCGTGAACCTTAGGCAGACCAGTGTCCCGGTTATAAGATTATATCACTCTATTAATCATATATCTTCTACCTTATTTCCCCTTCTCAGGCTTCGCCAGTTGGATATTGAGTTCATGAAACATCTGAGTCGTGTGGTCAACGTCATTCCTGTCATTGCCAAATCGGACACACTCACTCTTGAAGAGAAAATTGAATTTAAACAAAGGGTGAGGATGAAAGACGGATTCACAGGGTGATTCATAATCAAGTCAGTCACACCGATTAACTAGAGTTCACCATACTCCCTTGCAGGTGAGGAAGGAGCTGGAAGCGTGTGGGATCGAGTGTTATCCGCAGAAAGAGTTTGATGAGGACACGGAGGATAAGAGTGATAATGATAAGATCAGGGTAAGATCTTGCATGCTGTTTTCTTTTTTTATCTCTTTGGACGCTCTCATCTGTTGGTCAATTTGTTTTCACATTATGTTTGTCCTATTACAGGAAACAATGCCCTTTGCTGTGGTGGGAAGTGATAAAGAGTACCAGGTCAATGGGAAACGAGTTTTAGGGAGGAAGACACCCTGGGGAGTGGTGGAGGGTGAGTGGGCAGAAGTGTTTGCTGTGTTATTTTTCTTTTTAACGCATATTTCTAAGATAAAAATGGTCTGTTAGTGTCACTATGCCAATAATATTTATTTCTGTTCGATTAAAGTGACATTTTTAAGTTTCCTAGTTAATCAAAGTGCCATACACCCTCGGGCCCCTCATGTAACACATAATAACCCTATTTTAAAAGTTTGTAATAGCTTAATTGAACGATTTACACGTTTTACAGTTGAAACGTGATGATCAAACATCAAAAAACGTGCTTATTTGATTAGTAAAATAGAAATAGTGCAGAATCTTAAAGTCCCCCTGTAGTCAATAATTTTATCCCTTAAAACTCATCTTTGATCACCAAAATTACATATTTAAAAGTGTTTTCCTTGAAAAAAATACTTCATGCCTTAAAATAGGTTGGATATAACACACTCTTGCCTCATTTAGTAGTTCTATGAAAATGCTAATTAGCCCCGCCTTTATGTAGGTTAAAAGGTAGTTTGTGATGTCAGAAACACCAGCAATTTCAAACCACGCTTTTGAGACTGTCTTTGGTTCACTGCAGTTTTAAGGAGAAAATACTCAGTAATGGTGTTGACTTGAGAATTTGCACATGGTTTGTCTTAAAGCAGATTAAAAACACCACACAGACATGTAAACAACATTAAAAGCTCCCACCACTTAATATTTCTGAAGGAATTTTCCATAAAATTTGTTTCAAATTTGCTTGAAGTTCGTTTGTTTTCGGGTTTCAAATTAAACTTTGAATGACAGATTTCCAACGTGACCCTACTGAACCCAACTACATGTGAACAGAGTTTGCACATCACCTACAATATTTGGGTAATTTTCTATGTATTATAGTCCCAGAAGAAAATCAGATTATGTTTCACTCAAAACATGGACTGAAAATGCTTCCAAGAGGATTATGTTTTAGGGTTTATATACTTGCACAAATAATACACATATGTGAACACGAGGCATTTTAATCACTTTTTTTTCTACAGATGACACATTTTACCATTTGTAGTTGTGTACACTATATTGCTGTGTTGGTGCATGTTTCTGACAATACAAGTTTTTTTTTTCCCCTTCCCTGTAGTTGAAAACCCAAACCACTGCGAATTCTCCTTACTTCGTGATTTCATGATTAGGTGATGTATGCAACTTTATTTGTTATAGTGATCTTAATAGTTTATTGTATTTACTACTGTTCAAAAGTTTGGGGTCAGTAAGTGTGTGTGTTTTTTTTTTTAAAGATATTAATATTCAGCAAGGAAGGATGCATTAAATTGATCAAAAGTGACAGTAAAAACATTAAAAATGTTACAGGAGATTTGTATTTATAATAAATACTGTTATTCTGAACTTTCTACTCTATTCAACATTGATAAAAATAAGAAATGTTTCTTGAAAATCATATCAGAATGATTTCTGAAGAATCATGTGACACTAAAGACTGGAGTAATGGTGCTGAAAATTCAGCTTTGACATCACAGGAATACATTTACAATATATATTTTTAATTAATTTTGATCAAATAAATGCAGCCTTGGTGAGCATAAGAGATGACTTTCAAAAACTATTAAAATCATCAAAATCATAGTATTCCCTAAATTTTGAACAGTAGCCTAGTGTATAAATGCTAATATATATATATATATATATATATATATATTAGGGCTCATCGTGATTAATCGCATCCAAAATAAAAGTTTGTGTTTACAAAATATATGTGGGTGCACTGTGTATAATTATTTTGTATTCATATAAATACAAAATACACATGCATGTATATTTAAGGAAAAAAAATCATTTATTTATAAAATATTTAGATTTATATATAATATAAATTATATAATCTATATACAGTATATACATGAAAATATTTCTTAAATATATACAAGCATGTGTGTGTTTATATATATATATATATATATATATATATATATATATATAAATAATTATACACAGTGCACCCACATATATTATGTAAACACAAACTTTTATTTTATTATAATTGCGATTAATCGCTTGACAGCCCTAATATATATATATATATATATATATATATATGTGTGTGTGTGTGTGTGTGTGTGTGTTTATTGCATTCTTAATATAAAAAAATATATATTGTATGTTTTCAATCTTTATGAAATATTACCAAAAACACTCGACACTAATTATGTTTTCATTTACTCAGGTCTCACCTCCAGGACCTGAAGGAGGTCACTCATAACATCCAATACGAGACGTACCGTGCCAAGAGGCTCAACGATAACGGAGGTCTGCATCCCATCAACTCCTCTGGCCATGACACGCAAGAAAGCAACCTGTGAAGAAGAACAAGAAAAAAAATATCCAACGAGCAGTATAGTAAGGATGTGAGAGGAGACATAGATTCATCTTGTAATAATTCAGCTGTGCATGCTCAGAAGATCTCATCGCTGTGGAGGTTTTGTCTTTATGCTCCTTTTAACCCTTTGTGGAACTTGTCGTCATCTCTTGTCGCACAACCTTTGAAAATTTGGAAAAAGTGTTCCCCAGTTGCTCACTATGCTGACATTAGCGAGTGAGATTGCTCGTGATAATCGTGTCTTGTCCTCCGTCCTCCACTGCAACCTCTGTTAGACACATTTGAGCAGTTTGATTTAGTTAGAAGGGGGATTGCACTGCCACTGCAATCTGCAGCTTACTCAACGGGCCTTATCTATTAAAACATTTAGCACACTTTTAGTACCTGTTTCAATTGAACATGAATTAGCCCACTAAATCTTAACTTGCAAAGTGTTTTAATAAGTGTCCTCTCTTTGGGTACAGCAGTGTTTCTCTAAGTACTTTTTTATCTTTGCTGTGTATCTCTGCCAAAGGAAGTCTCAGAGGACTCTGAAGTGACCATTGAAGTATATACAGATGACTCAAAACAACTGCAACAATTTAAACTAGTGCGTTTACGTTGCTTTCCAGTGGCCAATTCAGGAAGATACTGAAAGAACACTGATTAAAAAAAATGATCAGTTCCTTTTACAAATCAAGAAGTTTTTCTTCAGCACATTTTGTATGCGTGTCTGTTGGTGTGAATGAGTAGAAAGGTTGCGTTTAACAAAGCTTTCTCATCATTTCGCATATGGTAATAGTGATTTCTGTCTCTTATGTGATGTAAGTTTCTTTTTAATATCCCATGTGTGCCAATATTTTCAATTGTGTGTAATTACTTTTACATTTACTATCACAATAACACTCCCACGATCTCTGCACAGATTTATACATTATGTTGGAATCTTAGAGATTCATACTGATCTTAAATCAGTTCACTGTTTTCATATCACATTTAATCAATGCTGGTGTGGAATAATAAAACACATTTGAACAGTAATTATGAAAATTATTTATATTGTATTTATGTTTTATTTATGTTTTATTTATTACGATACTTGTGTTTTGATTTAATAAACATGGTTGCCATGGTTGTCTTGACTTTTTTTTCACATCTAAAAACTATACTTTTACCAGTTGTCTTTCTATTTTTATACACAGTTCACATAGACAGAAAAGAAAGACAGTTCAGCCATTTGTTTCCAAACAGAAACGGAAAGAAGACTGTCATCTCGTCTTTTGTCTGTAGGGGGAACTGTATAACAAAAGACTACATTTACGTCAGTATTCACAAAGCCCACTGGGTGGCGAAGTGCTGAATCGTAACAACACATCAGTTTACTGTATTCAGTTCACACAGTATTTTCTTAGTCCATCCGAATTCTTGTTTGTTGTATGACTGGTGCCTGCCTGAGTGTAAAACGCTGTAACTAGGTTTGACTAAACATTTTATAGTGTCATCAGTGTGTTCTGATGAATCTTGTAAACCTGACTTCATATTATCATTCTCGAGCGTGTTCTGCCCGCTCTGCCTCGAAAACCTCTAGCACTGAGGTGATTGATTTTAAGTGATAGTCAATTTGACAGCGTTATTTATCGTGGCTTTTATATGATACAAAAATACCGTCGTCTATCTCTGACCAAGTGTCGTTTCAGGAGCTTTGTGTGCCTGGCTTAAAAAAGAGGCGGGGCCAAATGATCTTCCTGCTCTATGCTCTGTCTGAGAGAAGTAGGCTACTTCTTGTTCTTTATCATACTGGTTTGTGTAATGTACACCATGTACTGGTGTAGTGTACTGGCATACCACATTTTACCTCCGCTAACTTAATGAATCTAAATTCTCAATCAAGTGGAGTCTAACAGAAACGTTTCAGCACTGAAGGGATTCTTAATTTATTAAAATATCATCATTATCATAATCATTTATTTGTTGTTTGATTAAGATACATTTGGTTATGCAAATATAGACCTAATCCACTGAATTTTATCTTAAATGGGTCACAAATAAACGTCTCTCGTATCTTCTATCGAGCCCAACAGCTGGTAGGCGGTACTGCATAGTAGACATTTCAAACAGCTACGCATGCTGCAAGTAATGACAAAATGGCTGACCTTCAGCTCACACAAATAAAGCCATCGCGAATCGTCGAACGGCTCTGGAAGGTGTTTGGATGTGTGCTTTTAATGTGCATTTTTTACATTACTTGTTTATTTAGGTTTGTTAAAAAGATCATAAAAAATAAATAAATAATTGAGCCTGCATGCATGGACAGAGTCAGACGACTCCTCCCACGGGTCAGCAAGCTCCCATCCCCCTCACCACAAAAGAATGCAGCGCGAAACAGCGTGACCGGTACTCCAAATCCCGAACGAATGACTCTTTTGAATCGATTCATTCTAGTGAATCAATGATACAGCAGGGTTGGTGCATTGATCACACCGTTGGGATCATAGATATGTATGGTTGGGATGCTGTCTATGGATGGAACCGAAGATACTCACATGAACCGGTTCTTTTTGGTGAATCATATGGATCAATCGGAGAGGTAACTCTGTAACCAGAAATAACCCAAACAAATGATTTTCATCCCCGATTCGAATTCAACCAAAAACTATGCCGCAGCACATGTGGGTAAATCATTCTGACAGCCAGTTCATGACTCGTTTTAATGTAACTCACATAATATACAGTTAAAAAAAAAATTATATTGCCAGGGTTTGACCAAAATTCGAGCTTGGTTGCTGCGTTGTAAGGGTATGCAATGTCAATAATTAAATAAAAAAATAAATAATAAAAAAATAATCCAGTTGTTAAAAATTCTAACTTTTGTTGATCGTTCTGCAAATACATGAATACATCATTTGCTAATCCTGTCCACTTGACACTCATGTCGAACCCAAACAAAATTTATGTGTGGACGGTTGAACATGAGAAATCGAGATTCCCATAACAATCTACTTATGGATTTTAAACTATGTAAAATGTATCAACATACATTTAGATTTAACATTGTGAACACCCGTTCCTGAAAACGTTCGAGGGATGATGGGAGGAGCTTATTTCGATTCTCACGTTGTCCCTTGTCCCGCGAAAAGCATGTCTCCTCCCCCTGTTGTTGTACCGTTGGAGGACAGGAGAGGAGAGCGCGAATCACCAAGCAAACTACACTGTTGAGTTGCTGTCAGCCTGCTCACACTGTAGCCTACAGTCAGTCACCTTGTGCTGCTGCATGTGTGACTGTATGCGATTCCGTTGCGTGACGATAAAGACGTTACCAACCGAACCCGCGTTTGCTGATGTTCTGTTTTTAAACGTATACAATATTACACGTAGACCGTTGTGGTAACGATTTTTTGGAGGTACCGGTTGTATGTGCTCCGACTGATCAAAACACTGGGTGAGTTTTCACACTTGGTTCTGCTAAATGAATTGTTTGTCCTTCGTTTTTCTGAGAATATTTGTCACTTAATATGCATTTATTTTCATTAATGTATTATTTATGTAATTGTTCTTATCTTGAATTTGGGCTATGTTTATTTTTAAACTGTTACGTGGTTTTACCTGTCACTAATTGCACGTCAGGTGTAAACTCATCTAGAAACTCAATTTAAATAAAATAAAACACTCAACACAATTTAGACTATCTGCTTTTTATGTTAAATTTATTAGGTTAAATTGAAATGAGTATCTTTTCCCCCCTTTTCTTAAAGTGATAACTTCAATTTGATTTCTTCTAAACCTGGAAAAATCACTTATATTTACAAATCCAAAAGGTAAAAAAGCTGCACATGTGTATAACATATAATGTTTTTATGTTGGCTGACTGATATTAGTGTGATGTAGCATTGTTTGCATAAGTTTTGTTACTGATGTCATTGTAGAAACATTACATTTTGTCTGCCATGATAATGTATTCTCTGAGAGAAAGTGTCCAACAAGTAGTATTTGGATGGTCATGTGATCTCAATATATCGGGCCCCCTGAGGCGAACCCCTAGCCTGGTCCCACCAGACTCTCGTCAATTTCATTTGTACAGAGAGTCTGGCCTCGCTCCATTGACAAGCGTTAAGGCCGTGTGTTCACCAAAGCGTTTTTCCATGCGCATGGCGTATGTTTCCGATTGTTTTCAATGGGAGCCCCTGCTGCGTTTCTTTAACGACATGAGCGTAACGAGACGCTGAGCATTTTTTTTAAAGCTTAAGCGCTGAGCGCCGGTGTTTTTTACTAGTTGCCGAGAGTTGAAAAATTTTAAACTTTGGGTAAAACGCAGCGCTCATCATTGTCACTTTTTACCCAGCCGTCCAATCACAGTGGAAGAGGGGCGGGACTAAACCACACCGATCAACTGTCACAACATTCTTTCTGTACAACGACATCAACCAGCAGAGCAAACCGAACAAAATGGATGAAAAAAAAACATTTTAATTATGAAACAAATTTTCTGCGAAATCAGTTACAAATTAAGTGTGCTGTGTATCTGTATCACAGCAACGAAAGTGTCAACGGAAAAAAAACGCTGCGCTGCCACAACGCTCTCAAGCTCCCAAAGCTGTCCTTCTTCAGCAGAGCGTAGCTGAAAACGCTTTGGTGGACACACGGCCTAATTTCCTTGAAGGCGGGTACTGCCCAGAGCCACTCTGGATCTGCTGTAACCAATCACTAACGTTTGGCCGTGACCGTAGACTGTAAAAAATATGGACAAAGCGTCTGTGACATCATCCATAGACTTTCTGAAAAACGGTTTGAGGCTGTTTATGGGGGGTATGGGTGCCGCCATTTTGGAAAATCTTTGGAAATCCTAACCCCGCCCACCCTCTTGTCATTTCATATAATGCATGGGTAAAATGGCGGGCTTTGTGTGAGACTGAGGCCCCGTCCACACTACTGCGTTTTCGTTTAAAAACGGAGACCTTTTGCTACGTTTGCACCTCCCGTCCACACTAAAACGGGAAAAACGAAGACCTAAAACGGAGAAGTTTAGAAACGCTGCAGCTGCGTTTTGTGTTTTGAATCTCCGGAGTGCGTTTTAGTGTGGACGAGACAAAACCATACAAAACGGAGAACTTTAGAAACGCTGACGCAGAGGCTGACGCTTGGCTCTATGATTGGGTGTTATCAGTCATGACGCATCCTTCCCTGATTCGTCATTCACTGTTTACACCGGCACGCGCATGCCCAGTGTTGGTGAATGGTCACGTAATCTGCGTTTTCAGTCGTTTTAATGTGGACTGAGATCGTTTCTAATACGCAGATAAAACGCTGGTGTGGACGGAGATCGTATTCGTTTTAATTCTCCGTTTTTAAACGAAAACGCAGTAGTGTGGACGGGGCCTGAGCCGGCCGGTGGACGCGCCTCTTCAGCCAGGCAGCCTCAGCTATCTGTACCATTACAAGATCAACTGGCACACTAAGCTACTTTTTACAGTCAGTATCATTCTTATGTTGAAACTCCTTTTCCTCGATTTACTGAAGCCTATATGTAAAACGTATTTAAAGCTGCATAACTCGCTCATAGGCTGTGCTGCGGCAACTGCACATCCAATGGCGTGGGCGCCTCTGACGTGCGACCAAACGAGCTTGCAGATCAGTCTATTCTTATGTTACATTTATTCATTTGGCAAATTGGCAGACACATTTACAGTGTTTCAAACATCAGTTATAACCACAGGTAAAGTACCTCGGACCCTGACTTATCTAAGGCGATTCTTATGTTACATTTATTCTTTTGGCAGACACATTTACAGTGTTTAAAACGTCAATTATAACCATAGGTAAAGTACCTCGGACGCTAACTTATCTAAGGCGATTTAATGAAGCCTATATGTAAAACGTATTTAAAGCTGCATAACTCGCTCATCTGTGCATAGGCTGACTGTTGCAGTCCCACTGGTCATAAACACTGATGCTAAATAGTGCTATGTAAAATAGTAGTGGAATGTCACTTACCGGAAAAAATTAGCGTACTCCTAGTCCTAAAGTGTTGGTTAGTGCAGTTTATAGCAGAGCAACCCATGTAATGTACGGTATTTCAATACAAATGTTAAGAAAGGATACAGAGGTGGTATGATGTGTTGTGTCAGATCATGGCCGAGACGTCAAATTTCAGGAATTCCACTCGGCGCAGCCTGTTATCAGCTGTCAATCAAAGTTAACCACGCCCTTATTTGTCAAACATTTTATTTCTAAATATGATCTAAACTAACGAGTTAGAAAAAAAAATCACCCCCCTCACAGTTGTCAGGCACTCGGAACCTATCGAAAAAATACAATAAAAGTCCATAGGACCAACCTGTAAAAACACATTTATGCTGTGAAAACGGACATTTTAACATGGGGTCTATGGATATTTGTTCCCTTTTGGGACCTCCCTCTAGCGGATTTTCGATGTATTGCAGTTTTTCGCACTTCCGGGTAGACTTCATTTTTCAGATTAGAATGTTGGTGCTTGGTCGTGACATATGATGACTCAAACTAGCGCACAACATCAACATCATCGTTCTCAGCAATTCCCTCTGTTCGCTGATTGGACCGGTAAAAAATTTACCGGTAAGAATTAAGAAAACCAAAGAATACACCACAATCCCAGACGTAGTACGAAAGGAAAATTAAAATTGAGCGGTAGGAGGGCGGAGCCAGGCTAGTGACCCCCACCATGTAAATTACAAAAAGGTTGCAATTAGGCCATGTGTCCACCAATGCATTTTTTCCTGAGGCTAGCAGATTTTTCCAATTGTTTTCAATGGGAGCTCCGCGTTTTGAAAACGGCAACAGCGTGATCAGTCTCTTAGCATCTATTTCACTCGGGACAAGTTTTTTACTGGCCGCCGAGAGAAAACAAAGCACTCATCACTGTCAATTTTTACCCAGCCGTCCAATCACAGTGGAGGAGGGACAGGACAAATACCACACCGACCAACCGCCACATCCTGCTTGTACAGATGACAGATGACAACAACCATAATAATGGAACAACATAATTTAAAACAAAAGCAAATACTTTACATTGACATTTTCATATGGAAACAATACAGAAACAAGGTATTCGTGAAATAGATACTACTAACACTTCCACGGTTATTCCATTTCATTGCAAGAAAAGCGTCTCCACGCTCTACCGTGTTGAGGCACAACCCACGTAAAGTTGATAATTTCGTGAATAAGTGCAATTGCAGATTTCGAACAGAGATGGTGACAAAGAGGAAAAACTACGGACTGCAGCTTTAAGGGTCCACTGGAATTTATTTGGAGTAATAGATCTAGTAATTTGCCAAGCACTGCACTTCATAATTTTTTTGTTTAGCTTGCAGTTATTAAGTCTAATTATACCATGGTCTTTCTGAATACTCGATTCTGATTCGCTGGAAGGTATACAATAAAAATGTTTAATAGTTCCAAGTCATTTTAATCAGTGTTCTATATTAATGCACTGTTGTCATTGAAGAACACACTCATGTCACTCATAGATCCCAGAAGACCCGGGAAAGCATGAACTGATAAAAATTAATACCATGAATGCAGTGTACCTCACTAAAAGCATTTGCCAATTTAGGTCAAAGGCCTTTAGATTACATACAAAAATGGTAATTCTGGAATGTTTTATATCAAAACAATACTATTTAGAATAAGTTTCTGTACAAAACAGACTTATTAAATTTGATCAACAAATGGTGTCCCTTCTTTATTTTAAAGAACCATAATTGTTTTATGAACATGACCTTTACAGATGCTTCTTTTGAAACCATAAGTAGGCTTTTTAATGGGAGTATCACAAACCTGTGCCTCAGATTTGTTTACTATAATGATTCAGATTGATCACTTTGCTTTACTGCTTTGACCCAATTCAAACTTACTGCATAACATCTGGATGGGAAGGGAACATATTGTCAGTAAATAAGTGTATCCTTCCGATATTTTTGCACTAATTAGTTTGTCCACAAGTTGCCCATGGTTGTTGTTTTACAGTATGCTTTTGTGCTTATATTTTGAGAGAAAGTACAGAGACTAATTGTCTTTTAACTTTCTATTCAACTGCCTGTGTTCATGTATGCTATAAAATGGAGTATTCTTTGAAAGGTTTTGTGTTTGTAAGTGTAAAAGAACCTAACTTATAAAGTGATTTGGATCACTTGAATCAGTAATGCCAGTTTAACTGATTCATTGCAGAGTTGATTTGTTTAGATATTTGTGCCTAGTACGCAGACACCTTTTAGCTAGCTTTCATGAAATTAAATAAACCAATAGTACTACAATCATTCTGAGTCTGATACACTTTACAACCTCTGTTTAGTATAGCAATCTATGAGATTATGGGCATAATCCATGATGTAAGTGAACTTGTTAGATCAGATCACTCCATCTGATGGACACATTGGGGTCTTCTTTATAGCCTACTGTTTG